GGCTCTAGCGGGGAAGTGGCCGCGGCCCGCCTGGGAGCCGAGGTTCGGCCAGGGTTGCGACCGTCGGGAAGCAGGCTGGCCGAGAGGTCGTGTGTGGATGGGAGGGGACCGTTCCCCTTCCTTTTGCCATGTTTTTCTCCCCCCCACCCCTCTCTCTCTTGGGGCTTAAGCTTAGGGGGGAATAACCTGAGGAAAGATGGGGCGGGAGAAGGGGGAAATTGGGGCTGAGAAGCATCTCTGCCTCAGGTGGTGGCGTCTTTTCGGTCGTCGAGCGGCGTACCTTGCGAAGCCTGGAGGGGTAGCTCTCGGGCTGCGGAGGCCGCGCACTCGCGGGGGAGGAGCGGGAGGCGGCTCTCCCCTCACTCTCCCACCCCCACCCCTCCCCGGCCCTCCCTGTACGGCCCCTCCCTCTGGGTTTCTGAGCTTTAATCGCCCTCCTTGCTCTCTCTCGCAGGCGCGTCGGGACACCCCAAGGCATCCTCCCCTTCCCGCCCCTCGGGGGACCTGGGCTCCCGTCCGCCCTCTTGCATCCCCTCGCCGTCCGCCCCCCGCATCTCCTTCTTGGGCTTCGGACCCCCGGCCTCGCCCCCGAAACATGACTCGCGATTTCAAACCTGGGGACCTCATCTTCGCCAAGATGAAAGGTTATCCTCATTGGCCAGCTCGAGTAAGTGATTTTTAGCTTTCGCATTTAGCGATGCTACCTTCCTCAGAGGCCTACTTCCTACCTTTTTCCCTCTTAATTATTTTCTCATGTCCTTTCCCTCCTTCTCTTTTAGTCTCTGTTTGTAACCTGACCTTTTATTTTACTTTTTGTTCCCATTAATCTCCCATGTAATTTAAAAATCTAGTGTTTCTACATATTTAGGTATTTTCCTGTGGTTTGTTTTTGACAGGTTTTCTTAACAGGAAATATTTAGAGGTGATGCTGTTAATGTCCCATTGTAGGTGAAAATAATGAAGTATGAATTTTATGTTTAAAAATTAAAATGGAACATTTTTCTAAATTTTGAATAAAATACAAAATACCTATGGATTCTGTTCACGCTATTGGGTGTCAAAGACTTACATGTGATTAAATTAAATTTGTAGGTATTTTTTAATGTTTTGTAGTTGATGAAGCCTTCTGGATTAGACTTGTTTAATAAGATCTAGGACTGGATACTATTGAGATTTTTACAGGGAGGTAGCACTAAGGAAGGTCTAAAATGTTTATTTTCAAGTTATTATTGGTGAAGTTTGCCTTATGACCTTGAAGTTGTTTAACTTCTTTGTTTCCCATAGGCAAAAGGTGGAGTAGACCCACATTCCTGGATTCACATGTAGTACTGAGAGGTGGTTAAAGACCCAGGATTTTTGTTTTTGGTGACATTTAGGAATTGAGACCATCTAAAATATTTAAGTACTATTTTCAGAAAAAGATCTTTCAGTTTATGGTTGGACTCAGGTTCTAAGATAGTTATCGAACTTAAAAAATGTTGAGCTCAAGTAGATTAGTAAGCTCAAGAGCCTTCTTAAATACAAACATGTGATACTCTAAGGTTGTGATTTCTCCTAATTTCCTTTTCTTTGAGGAGTGTATTTCTTAAAGATAATTAAGTCCTATAGTTTTAATTACATCAGCTGGTAGGAAAAATAGCCATTGGTTACAGAGAATCATGGAGTGAGTTGCTGAGTGCTATCCGAGTATAAAATGTTCATTGGTTCTTAATTTTTTTCCCATCCAGCTTTTTACAGATTCAGGTTTACAGGTTTCCTTCCCCATCCTGGAAAGTTTTTTTTGTTTTTTTTCCTGCAGCCTATTAAGTCTACCTTTTCAGTGCAGTCTTACTTGAAAAATCCTTAACCATAATTTTTGTCTGTATATTTGACACTTTATTTCCTTTGTGATAACCTTTTATTTTAATTCTTACATGCATTCTTTGACTTCTGAAAAGATCATAAGCCTCTCAAAGGTGACAGATATAAACTGAATTTCTTTATTACACCTGCCCCTAATCCTTAGTACATAAATCATGCACTTAAAAAAGCAATACTTCATGTTTAAATAGAGCATGGGGAAACTGAGCAGGTTAAAGTTTCTCCTAAGATACTTTTTTTTTTTTTTGTGGTTTTAGCATCATTTGTTTTGAGGTGTTATAAAATCTGAGGGTCTGGGATACATCTATATTCAGATTTCTATGCGACAGTGCAGTTAAAAGCCAAATGAAAATGTTTTAGAAATTATCTCTTCTTCCAAATTATTCTTCCTCACATGCTTCAAGGTGATTGAGAGTTAATGCTAATAAAATCACAGTAAAGTAGCCTTTGGAGGGCCAGAGTATTTTCTTTGTTTAATAAATTTTATATTTAACAATTTAATTTGGATTGAAATGGGAAATTTTAATCTGTTTCCTTTTCCCCTTTTTTCTTAGAAATGGTTAAATTTGGTTTTGATATTTTCTCTCCAAGAATTATATTCCTTTTTTTGTCCTCTCTCCAGTCTTTTAAATTTTGAGCCTGCTTTAGAGTTTAAAGTATGTATTTAAGGTCTAAGCTGTGAAGGTGACAACCATTGTTCGAATTTTGATTTTAATATTTTCTGTCTGTGTGTCTCAAACTTCATTAATTTTTAAGTCTTGTACAATCTTGTAATCCTGGACCAGTAATAAACATTTTTAAAGTCAACTTTAGAAAAATTGCCCAGCATATATTAAACTCTAGGTACTAGACATTTGTACAGACTTTTAAAGCTGTTTGCTAGAAGAAAGAAGCATATGAGCTGAGTTGACAGAAAATACCCTTATCTTAAGGCCTCTTAAGGATTTTCATAATTCCTCAACTTGTCACAAAGTTGAAAGCATAGTACAGTCGTCGATAGGAGAGAAAATTAAGTTCCTAAGGGTGTTGAATGGTAACGATTCTAAATGTCTGAAACCTTCAGACTACTTGCCAACTAGTCAAATCATGCTTATGGTCTTTTCTTCAACATAATGATGCATACTGAGCACAGTAGGTCTTCTAGTCTGTTCCCTTCTTAACAGATTTAACTGATTTTTTAAAGTGTCTTTGAAATTATGAAAATTATGAAATAGAAATATTGTCATAAAGTTTAAAATAAGTAACGAAGTTGAAATGTTAAATTCTGGCTAAATACTATTACCTGATGGCTTTAACTCTGATAAGGGACAGTTACAAGTATTACTGTGTTAGACATAACAGTACCTGATACTTTCTTCCTTACTTAGTTAAAAGTATTAAAAGAAATGAAAAAGAAACAGGTAACTTCATGTGATTCAGCCATGTAGGTATAAGATCTTTCCAGAATATATGTTTCAGACTTTGAGAAATACTGCTTTAAACTTAATGCTTGCTCTTACATTACTCCGATATTTGTATAGCCTCCCTGCAGAAATAGGATTTAAAATTTTTGAGCAGGTCCAGACTCCTTGTCTGAAATGCTTAGGGCCAGATTTGTTTAAAAAAATTCAGAATTTTTAGAAAGATTATGATGGTACATATGCCATTTTTATTTTAGAAAGGTTATGATGGTACATATGCCATGTATCTTGCTTCTGGTAGGGTCTGGGATGGCACATGATAATCTAGCACGCTGTTTCTGCAGAGAAGCCTCAGAAACGCTGGGTGGATGAAAGAAATGATAGAGTAGCTTCAGTGTCAATCCAGGTTTTGCCACCAGCTGAAATTTGAGAAATATCTTGGTTTTCAGGGCTTCTTGGGTTAATAAGGGATTGTGGACCATAACTGGTCCACTTTATAGCAGATTCCTTTTGGTTATCTTGTTTTCAGTTTATTCTGGTGTGTGTAGGTGCATATGATTTAAAAGATTTTAATTCTTCTAATCTTTCTTTTAGGTAGATGAAGTTCCTGATGGGGCTGTAAAACCACCAACAAACAAACTACCTATTTTCTTTTTTGGAACTCATGAGACGTAAGTCCTTTTAGCTCTAGCGGCAAATCAGAGTGAATTTATTAGGTTCATTGGGCATAAAATGAAAAACAAGAAGCTACTAATTCAAAGAGAAGATAAAGTAATAGGAAACTTTAAAATCATCTTTGAACTATGGGAAAAAAAGTCTTCAAGCTTCCCTTTTAAATTTATTTTTATGGTAGAAAAATTAGACCTAGGTTTACCTTTTATTGGAATGAATGTTTCCTTAATCATAAAAGGATGATATGTGTGTGTGTGTGTGTGTGTGTGTATATATATATTGGTCCTCTTGGCAATCAGAAGAATAACTGATGGATGAAAGTATGTAGGGAAAGTTTTAATAAGGCATTCGGTTTTCATATTTAGTATAATTAGTGCTTTTTTATAAAATGACAACCTGGCACCCTGTTTTATGCTTTGTGATTTTAGCCACACAAATGGTATATTGTGGGAAAGGTGAGAAGAAATCTGGGTACTTCATTCTGTGTGTATTTATGTGGTCCTGAGAGCCACCGTTACTGCTCTGCTGCCCCTGGTGGATTTGTGGGCAGAGAAGGGATTTGGTAAAGCAAATTAATTTTTCAAAAATTGCAGCTGAATATTGAACTGTTAATTCTAGGGACAGAGGATTACTCCAGGACTGTCTCTTTGGTTTTGAAAAATATACTACGTGTTTATATTTCAATAGCCTTATAAGTCATATATAATCTTGCTGACTTTGAGCTTGATGTTTAGAATCTGCAATAATTTTGGTAAAGTAGACTTGTTTACCTGGAATCAGGTGAAACAAAGCTGGTGATACTCTAAATAGAATTATGTATTCCTTAGAGTGCCTGCAGTGGCAACGTTTGGTTTAATGTTGCTTAGCTACTATATGAACTTCTATGTAGTTTTTAAAAACAGGTTTATTGATAAGTAATTTACATCCTAAAATTCACTTGTTTAAAGTGTGTAACTCAGTGGATTTTAGTATATTTACTTATATACGTATTAGCAGTCTTTCTTCATTACCGCCTCCCCAGCCCTAGATCCCCACTAGTTTAATGTCTGTCTAGATTTGTCAATTCTGGACATTTTATATTAATGAAATCATATACCATGTAATTATCTGCTTTAAAATACAGTTTTGAGTCCAGAATTGGCTTGGCCTTCAGTATGATTACTTTCAGTTGAGTTCAGGTACATTCTAAATATAAAAATTTAATTCTGTAAGAAATGATGAGTTTCTGATTCTCTGGGATAATCTGCCATTTAAAACATTCATAAATTTAAAAGGGAAAGATACTTTTAATGAAAAATTATGTACTCTTGAAATAGGGGTTTTCAACATATGGTACCAGGTCAAGTGGCACCACACCTGGGAACATCACATGGGAACTGTAGTTAGGCATGAATATTCTTAGGCCCCCACCTCAGATTTACTGAATCAGAAACTGAGGTGTGGGGCCCAGCAATCTGTTTTAACTATCCTTCCAGATGATTCTGATGCATGTGAAGTTTGGGAACACTATCAGAGTAATGTGAGTAGACATTCTCTAGAATTTTTACATGTCCTTATAGTTTTATAGAACACATGGTTCATTCTTATGTTAAATTTAGAAGAATGATCATCCTTTTCCCAGCATCTGAAAAATGGGGATTTTTACATTGTAAATATATACGAATTATAAATCAAAACAAACTACACCAAGTAACGAAGTTCATAAGCTTTGTTTGGGTAATAACAGAACAGTGATATTAAGTGGTTAATGAAGACAGTGAATTACTAATACTTAAAAAGTAGAATATAGTCAAGGAATTAAACTGTAAAACTAAGCTAATGATAGCAGGTTTTCATTTCAAAATGCACTTGTAATTTTTGTGCCTTAGTATTCTCAGAAGTACACCATTATCTTTAGAAAGGGAGTGCTGTTGTATCTATTAGTCTGGTGACTAAACTTTTTTGGTGCTTAAGGTTAATCTTTAGAAACTAGATCTCAGTGATATTTGACTTTTTCCCCCTCTAAAATTGGGAGGGTGATTATTTGAACCTTTTAATTTGGAATTTGCAGAAATGGGAGTTTATTCTAGTAGCCTGTAGTTAGGGAGATGTGAAAAGAAACCCTTAGACCAAATGGCAATTTAGAAAACTGTACTTACTCGTAATTGATTTATAGATTAAGATTTTTTAAACTGTAAATTTAGAGCAGAATCCTTTTGTAATTCTATTCTTTTCCTGACCCTATAGACATCTGATTTTCCTTAAGAGTTTTATACCTTTCACAGTAAATTCATCCAGCAAAGTTTTGAATATTAGATAACAAGAGCCCTTACATGTACCTACTGTAACTGTCTACTAGGTATCTTAAAATGAATATATTCAAAATAGATTCTTAGTAAATGAGACTCACATGGATGCAGTGGTTTGCTGAACCAAAAGTATGGGTATTCTTGATATTATTTTATATCCTTTTCTCTTCCTCCCCACATCTTGTCTGTCAGCAAGTCTTGTTCTTTTCTGTTAAAGTGCATTCTAAGGTCTTCTGCCTCTACTACCGCTTAAGCTCATGCCGCAATTACTCTTAGAAATAGTGTCCTAATCCTCTTTTGGTTTCAGTTTTCACTCTTCACATATAGTCAAAGTGATCTTTATATCCCAGTCAGATTATGTCTTTTCCCTGTCCAAAAACCTTCAGTGGCTCCCTTATTAACATTACTAACAAACTAAACCCCCACATTTTGTCTACAAGTGCTGTTTGTAAGCCCCTACAACCTGATCACAATTTTTTTCTACATTACTGTATTTCATCTTGCCTCAGGTCCTTCTTGAGTGTTTTCTTTGTTGGGAAAGGTATGTCTTCAGATTTTCAGTCATTTAGATTGTAGCTCAAATCTTCCTTTTCATGCTTATTTCTCTGTTGCAGTAATGACTGAAATGTTTCCTTTTCCTTCACCCACAAGTGAAGAGCTTGGAGAGCAGGGACCTTGTCTATCTTGCTTATTATAATTTACTTAAGTGCCTGACACATAGTAGCTGTTAAATAAATGTTTGGTGATAGATTGAAAGTTCTATGACCTAGATAAAATCATTTGTTGACTATGAATGTGCTGTCCATTAGCTGACATTTATACAGTATTTAAGACAACTGGATCCGAAGACTATCTTTGAATCCTGCTATTTACCTGCTGTGTGACTTTGGGCAGCTTCCTTCTGCCTTGTAAAATGGGAGTAATAAAATACTCTACCTTAGGATTTGAGGTGCAAACAAGATATTACATGAAAAATGCTAAAAACAGTGCTTGGCATGTATTAAACATTAAATGTCAGCTATTAACAATTAAAGATAATGTTGCATATTATTTTTTCAAGACCAATACTTGTGTTCATTAAATTATTTGCAGTGCAGTTGGAGTTTGGCTGACTAACTACCATTGCTAATTGAGAAAATAGTCTCATCGAGGTCTGTTTTTCTAAAGTAGAAAATTTTAAATGAGGATGTTTTTGCTGCTTTTATCTCCTTACTGCTCTTACTTGTCTTGATTCAAAGATGTTAAATGCTCAGTTCTAGGAACTTTAAAAATACCCATCAAGGCTGTTTCAAAACCTGCCTAAGGTACAGTTTTAGGAGTGAAAGGGAAGGTACAGCTGGTTAATCAGTTTTTTGTATAATCTGCCCACAAGAAAGGAATAAATGAAGCATAGAAGAGGATTTTATTTTCTTCTGCAGTTTCCCATGTACAGACATAGCTGCATATGTTGGTGTGGAACAGGTTTCTCATGAGCCTTATATAATGAGGAACTGTTCATCTCTGTACCATCAGCTTGATGGCACATAGTAGATGTATCATCAATTGTCTTGAATCAGTTTCTGTTATAAAATAGTGCATGCTGTTAGAAAATCTTGGTATAAAGTAGTATGTTTCATATTTTGTGATTTAATAATAATGGAGAACTGAAGCAGCAAGTTAGAATCAATGTTTTAAAAGATAGGAGTTTCTGTATTATAATATTGCTTGGCAACAGTTAAATGAGCCTTGGGCTTCTTGTCTTCAGCTGTGGTAAGCTTTCCTATCCCCTTTTTTTTTCATATGTGACTTCTGGTTTGTTTTAAAGGAAAGGTTCTAGGCGTGTGATAACTGAGTTTTTGTAAGACATATGTGTATGTTTTTTACATACATTATTTACAAAAAAGTGACATTAGAGAACTGCTTTTCTGTGTACTTCTGCTTAAAGGAATACACTTTACAGCCTTTAGGCATATGCCCTGTAAGAAATACACTTGCAGGATTTAAGTAGCTTCAAAATTATGAAATTAGTACTCTAGTTAATGATTTGCTATTTTCTTATGACATTTTACATTAACTTTGATCCTTGTGGGCTTTGACATTGGTATTTGAAATCTGAGTTTATATGTATAGGGATATGACATCAATATTTTATTGGTAGATGTTTCAAGGCTATATTACAGTGGTTAAAGGAAACCCTGAAGCCTTTTTAGGGGAACATTGTAAAGAGTTGAGACTGCTGTTTAATAGCTAGATCACCTTCCCTGAGCCAGTGACTCTTTCTGGCCTTCAGTTTTCTAATCTTCAAAAGGAGGATTTTGGTTATCCTTAAGTTTCCTTTCACCTCTGGCGTTTGGTGGGTAACTTACTTTGAGTTAGTGTTTATCTTTTCGTTGTAAAAATTTTAAAAACAAACATTAAAAGAGTTCTCTACAAAGGAAGCAAATAATTTTTACTGCTATTTTTTAGAAACAATGCTTAAACTTGTTACTGTTTTGGTATGTTTTTGAGTTTTTTTAATGTCATTTTAAAATGGAGTGCTTTGAAGAATAAATTAGAGCAACAGTCATATAAGGTTGTGCCCTTGGGGACCAGCAGTGGATGTCTAGAAACCTATCTGAGCTCTGCTCACCAGACCTGTGGGATTGCATCCCTGGGGAAGATTCTTTATGTGTATTTGTGTTTTCTTCTTACTGTTTTTAAACTGAAATGTAATAGACATACATTGTGTAAGTTTAAGGTGTGTTGATTTTAATACATTTATATATTGCAATATGATTACCTACCACTGTTGCATTAGCTAACATTTAGTTAACACCTACCTCATGTCCAGTAATTAGCCATTTCTTTTTTGGGGTGAGAACATATGAGGGTTCTTTTTTCATCCACCATAGTTTTTTGAGTCTTATTAAAGAGCTCCATAGTCTTGAGCATAATCTTTGACCCAACTGTTCCACTTAGAATTTATTAGGAAGATATGTGAAAAGATTGAGCAATACATTATTTATTATAGCTTCATTTATAATAGAAAATTTGATATAGAAAATAGTTGAGCAATAGACAGTGATTTTGGGATAGCTATTCAGTGTTAAGTAATTGTTGACATAAAAAGATGTTCGTTATAATTTGAAAAAGTATTCGTGAGTATGTATCGTAAAACATTAAAATTACATGTTTTTTACATTTCTGTGTAAACAAAAAGGTGAAAACAGTGGCTCTCTTTAGTTGGTAAAATTATGGATCATTTTTGTTTTCTTTGATGGGATGTAGTGGTCACTGAAAAATAATTTTAACAGCTTTATTGAGATATAATTCATATCCCCAACAATCCAAATAAAGCATACAGTTCGATAGAAGTGTAGCCACTAGCACAATGTTAGAACATTTTCATCACCCCAGAAAGCCTGTACCCATTAGTAGATAATTCTCACTTCTCCTTTTACTCCTGTCTTGCTGTAGACAACTACTAAACTGTTTGCCTGTGCTGGGCATTTTATATAAATTGAACTATAGAAATATGATCTTTAATGAGTGGCTTTTTTTCACTTAGCATGTTTTCAAGGTTCATCTTTATTTTGTAGTATGTGATAGTACTTTGTCTTTATTGCCAAATATTCCATTGTATTGATCTATATTTTATCTACTCATCAGTTGATAATTTGGGTTGCTTCTACTCTGGGCTGTTATAAATAATGCTACTATGAACATTTGTGAACAAGTGTTTGTGTGGACAAGTTCTCATTTCTGTAGGAGTGGAATTCCTCGGTCACATGGTAACTTTATATTTAATCTTTGAGGAATTGCCAGACTTCAAATCAGCTGTGCACCATTTTATATTCCTATCAGCAATGTGTGAGGATTCTAATTGCTCCATGTCTTTGGCAAGACTTGTTATTATTATCTTTTTTATTATAGCTATCCTATTGGGTGTGAAGATATTCTGGTTTTGATTTACATTTCACTGATAGCTAATGATACTGAGCATCTTTATGTGTGAATTTTTTTTTAATATTAGAAAATAGAGCTTGAAAATCTGAATCTGTATGTAAAACAAGGTGGTATGAATAAGACCAAATATAAGTGATTACAATATATAAACAGACTTCTATTAAGACTTTTAGATTTGATTAATCCTATTAATCTCCCTGTGTCTTATTTTGTGAGACAAGGCTCAAACAAGACATGACCAAGTAACAGTATAATGTAGTCACAAAGAAAGCAAGAATAGGAATATTGCTGTCTGACAAAAGTAGAATTTAAAGTCACAGTATGAAGAGGAGAGAAGGACACAGGCAGTCTTTAGCTTTGTGGAGTTCTACTATGTGTGAATTTTGGTTACCATGGTTTAATTAAACAGCACCAGCCCCCCCCAACAAGTTTCAAATTTTATTTAGTCTGGAATATTAACTATAATTGTATAAACTACAAAATTTGCTGCTAGCTCATCAGTCCACAAATTAAGATGTAAATAACAGATGCAGAACAGGTCTCTTTTTTTCAGAGTTTACTGGTAATTGGTCAGTGTACATCTGTTTCTCATTTCAAGCACAGATAGCACACTATGTAGTAGTGTTACTGCTTCGTTGTCTTTCAATGATATACCCATCCAGCTTACATTTAAAGAAAAAACAAAATAGGGAATTGGCCAAAAAAGAAACTGAAATTGCTAGAAGTGAAATCTGAATTGAATGTAAGTGGAGTTATAGAATAAATAGCCTTGTGAATAATAACCTTGTGAATGTAGATGTGCTGTATTTGTAGAGACTAGATACGCAGCCAGAGCAGCTTAGGGAAGGCAAGCTTATCAACATAAATGAGGAAAGTGGTTGTAATAAAAAGGATGAAGATTTCTCAGAGGAAGCTGTGCCAACAAAAAAACATTAAAGATATTTCACAACATTGAAAGTGAAAAGATAAAATGTTAGAAGCTGATTATATTTAAAAAAGATATGACACAGTGCCTTAGGCATAGAAAATATGCTTACTCCATATCATAAGTTACATGATCAGAAGAGGCAAGGACTGTTCAAACTATTCTTGATAAGTTTTTTACGAAGTAATGAAATACTTTAATCTCAGTGTTTTTAATGTTTTAAATTGCAGTGTACTAAATAAGTATTAGTTTTACTTTCTAAAATTTCTTTACACACTGTCAGTAAGACTTTAATGTTTTGATAATTTGTAAAGGTTATGGAACAATTGTAATTTTTCCCACTGTTCAATAAGGTTGCCTTGCATTGGTTTTTTATGATCTCTTGTCATACAAAGTGAGGACTGCCTGTTTGGGGGAAAAATTATCCATGTAAATTTAACCATCAAACCTTTATACATTAAATATTTTCATGATGCAATCAGTTTTCTCTTGAATCGCTTTTTAGCTTAGAGTTGTAGCTAAGCCCCATGTTTGAGGTTTTGAGATTTTTTCTATAATTTTATTAAATAGTTAATATTTAAAGTCCCTTCTACTTCTTGAAGTTCCTGATGCCACCAGTTTTGAACCCTTTGGGGATTTTGAACTATAAATGAAGGTGCTGTCTGACGTTCTACATTGCTGCTTAGTATCCAACTTTCTTAGTCTTCCCAGCATCCTAATCTGTTGATAGTGTCTTTTACTGTCTTTAGCTTTATGATTGTGGGGTTTTAGGAGAGAATTGTCGTGTTCTAACTAGAAGTACACTTTATTTTTGATGGAGTTTTAACTCAAGTCATTTACTTGGAATTTGAAGCTGGTTATGCGGGAGGAATTGCTTTACTGTTTTAACTAAATGTGTTAATTTTTCTAATTTTAGATTCTGGGCAGGAATGAATGATGCCTAGTGAAAGTCTGAATTTCTGGATCAAATGAGATAATGATGATTTAAGTGTGCCTTAATTGATGTGCAGTTAAAATACATGGATACTTTGAATACTTCTAAATTGCATAATATAAGAAATAAAGCTGACTTTTATATGCATTAATTGTATTTAAGTAGAGTTCTAAGTCTCTTTTTTTCTAGAAATTTTATCTTAAAGCCTAACTGAAATTTTAACCATAGTCATTAGGTCCCCAGTTCTTAAAGAATTTCAGCAGACATGGAATTTGTGATAGATATAAAATTAGTAATTAATTGTCTTAAATTGTAGCACAGTTTAGAGGAAATGAGTAGTAATTTGATTTTTCTCTTGCTTTAGAAAATACATATATATCAACCATTATAGCAAAAAACAACATGTATTGTTCATCTCCCTTTATGGGATTGACAGATTTCTACAGATCTGACTGCCGTATGGAGATATATAAGAGGTCTGTTCTAGGGAATATATCTGAATATATATGTATATATACACATACAAAAACAGTTGATTCTTGTCATTCATGGATTCCATATTTATGAATTTGCCTCCTCACTAAAATTTATTTGTAATCCCAGATCAGTACCCATGACACTTTTGTGGTCATGTCTGTGTGCAAAATGGCAAAAACTTTTGAGTAACCTGATGGACACATTCCTAGTTGAGGCTGAACCAAGGCCATGCTTTGCCTTGTTTGAGCTCATATTGTAAACAGGTGTCCTTTTTGCAGTCTATCTAGTGCCATAGGTTTTGCATTTTTGTGCTTTTTCTGGTCATTTTACATGCTTATACCCACATGTAGCACTGAAGTGCTATTTAGTGTTTCTAGCTGCAGGAAGGCTGTACTCTGCCTTGTGGAGAAGGTATGTGTTATACAAGCTGTTGTCTGTGAGTTCAGCGTTTATAAATTACCCATATATATAATATAAGGTGTCTTTAAACAGAAACACACATAGAACAGTTATGTATTGATTGATTGACAAAAATGTGGTGACCAGAGGAACGTACCCTGTATTTCCCCTGGAGCAGTGGGTACAGTATTCCCTAATTCAGTGTTTGTGGAGACATTATAAATATAATCACCATGAAAACAAGAATTGACCGTGTGTGTGTGTATATGAATGAACAAACCAGTAATAACATCTGATTGTTTCATTGAATAAAGTAAACTTCTTAACATTCATTTTATTCTGAAAATCTACATGTATATAAACACAAATATTTGAAAATATACATATAATATACCTTATTGACAGCATTTTATGAGTTGTGTAATATTCCAAATTACTTCAATATAAAACTATTTGAAGTGCATTTAAATGTATTGGTTTATACAGTCATGTCTCATCTTTTTTTCATTTTGTGCATTTTTTATTGTGAAATATAGCAAAATGTATCATTTTAACCACTTTTAAGTGTACAGTTTAATGACATTCAGTACATTCATAGTGTTGTTCCAAGCTTACATGTTTTTTTAAAATAGGATTATGGATCTAAGAGTTTGTGACTGAATTTCATGAAAGTATTTGGAATTCAGTATAATTATTTGTGGCTACCCTTTATGTATGATTTTTAATGCATTTTAGATTAAGAATTTTTGTTAATTGCATCATAGGGTAGTGCTGTTTAATAACTTATATTTGAGATCGCTTTGCACTCACATTCCCCCCCTCCTTTTTCAGTGCTTTTTTAGGCCCAAAGGATATATTTCCTTACTCAGAAAATAAGGAAAAGTACGGCAAACCAAATAAACGAAAAGGCTTTAATGAAGGTTTATGGGAGATAGATAACAATCCGAAAGTGAAATTTTCAAGTCAACAGGTGCGTCATATTACATAAAACTTAGTTTAGTATTATTTATTCCGTTTTGGGGAATAATCACTATTTTAGCTGTAGGAAAATAATTCAAGAGCCTTGTGAATTTCAGATTAAATTGCTCTTATTTGTGAGGGTGAACCTTGAACTTTAATATCCAGATAACTGATGAAAATATTGCCTGCATGGTCAGACAGACCTCAGAAGACTGTGAAACCCTTATTTAAATTCTGATTGAGAATTTATTTACTGTATCATTGAATTTAAAGCCATCTGTACTATTTTCTTAAATTGAGATTTTATAACTTGAAAGGTGTGGTTTGTTATTCATTTTAATTTCTAAATCCTTAAAATTTATTAGAATATGAATTTCACATGGGTTAATTGAATATGTGACCAAAATACTTATAGCACCGTGCAAATTATGCTTATGTTTTTGGTGTCTAGAAGAACAGCCTTTAAACATTTTTATTCTATTTCTTGTGTGTCCAGAACTTTTGTTCATTTATATTGGACTTGAGCTAGTAAAAACTAGGACGAATAAGAGTAAACCTAAAGAAGGTGATAGCAACACACTGAAAATTATGCAACTTTCTGCTTTTAAACCTATGTATTTTTTATTTTGTTGCATGTGCCATGCTTTTTCTCACGTTTGAGAACTTTTTAGTTGCTCTTCTGTCTGGAACATTTAAATCTTTCATTAATGCTTCACGGCCACATTAGATGATCCTAAGTGCTTTCATTATCCACCCAAAAGTTAGTTGTTACACAAGTCATCAGACCATATCATAATTGCTTCTGTATTGTCTTAACTGCCACAGGCTATTAGTTCCACAAACAAAGAAGTCGTATGTCCTGTGTGCCTGGTATTGTTATATGTGTGGGAAGAATAGGTACTCACTAAATGTTCGTTGCACAAATGTAAGAATGGATGAATGGTTTCCCATCCTTACTGCCTTGACTCTAATGGGAGTCCAAAGAGACTGAGTTGCTTGTTTCCTGAAAATATTTTGTAACTTAACTTGGATCATGCATCCTGTGATGGTGCCTTCATGGTCATTTTCCTACTCCAGATTGCCTAGCTTAGTCACCCTATTCTCTGTTCTTACCTACCTCCTTAATCTCCAGGTAGTTTACATGATGTATACTTGGAATTTTCCATTTCACAATGAAATTTTTTTAGGTTGTGTACATGAAACCCCAACAATTTTCTGTTTTTAACAAAAATATGAATGATTATGCTAGTGTGATGTACTCTGTGTTCCTGGCCCAGACATCCCCAGTGGCACATTCCTATGGTTTGGTGCAAGCATTGATGTCCAAACTTTTAAAAAGAAACAAACCAAAAATTGGCCATCATATTTATAAAAATTTCTGTAGTGCTATAAGTAACTTTGGGCACATTTTTACAGTTTTTATTGTACTGTTATAATTTGTGGGTTATCAGCCTTGCCTTTTTCACAAAAGAGGAAATGGGTTTACAGTGTAAAAGACTTGTACAAGGAAATAGCTAGAAGGGTACACAGTTTGGAGTACAGTGCTATCGTGTTGTAGATCTGCGCTTTACCCTCACCTCCCAGTGTGTACTGTGTTGCCTCTGGTATTCATCTTTTTGGTTGTTACTATGAAAATCTAGGCATCCTAGATCACCTGCTTAAGCATCTCTCATCTGGAGATTCTTTTAAAATTTAATGATGATTACTGGGCTCCCACTCAATGCCTGTTAAATCAGAATCACTTAAGTTTGAGTCTCAGGAATCTGCATTTTAAATAAACTAAATTTGAGATACATATATCAATCAAAAGTCCTTAAGTAAAGCTGCAGTATATATCTCATTAGCTAGTGATGTTTGTCTTAGAGTACCTAAATAAGCTGCTTTCTCCGGAATATTTCAGTAGTTGAATAGAGTATAAGTCTGTGCTGTTCTAAATCAACTTAACATTGTATCTTGTTGGTGTTTGTTGGTTAGAACATCAAGATGGTATTCTTAGTAATTGTACTTCTTCATTTCTGCCTCACCGTTTTATCTGCTGAGCTTGTATGCATCAATTGCAGGAATGTAGTACCTTCTAAGACTCTCCTAAAGAAAATAGTAGCATTTCAAACTATTTAAAAATTGTATATGTTAAAAGTATCCTGTGCAACAGAAATGAGGGTACTTATCTAGCTTTTTAACAGGCTTTGATTTTTTTCATGGGTAGAAAAATTTGAAGTAGAGGTAAAATTTTATTTTGTGAAACTAATAGACTTAATTGCTCATAGACGTCAACTAAACAATCAAATGCATCATCTGATGTTGAAGTTGAAGAAAAGGAAACTAGTGTTTCAAAGGAAGATACTGATCATGAAGAAAAAGCCAGCAATGAGGTGTGTTTAATTTTTTTTACCTTCTAAAACCATTTTGTTGCAAGGAAGAACTGTAAAATGAGTTGATTGTGGCAAAATAGAAAGTAATCTTTAAAGTAGTTGAGCAATGAATGAGAAAATATTCAAGGCTTATTTTCTTATGTAAATAATAAATATAGTATTGGAAAATAATTTTTTCACCTTTAAGATGCATGGATGTTTTTATTTGAAGTTATTCTGCTGTGCAAGATATGAGGTACAACTAGGAGAGTGTAAGGGATATTTTTAAAGTGAAATGTTGTTGGATGGATGTCCTAGAAAGGACATTGAACTGACTTTTTAAAAACCTAGGTTTATTTCCAACTCTGTCTTTGTTTATCTGAGTGGGGATACTCATTTAGCACTTGTAACCTTCATGAAATTGTTAGGTGATCTCCAAAGTCCCGGATACCTTTTAACATTCACAATCCTAAAGCTGAGGATTCTACTGTAAAAAAGAGTCATTTTGTAAATTTAAATAGACTTCCTGGTGTACTAGCAAATGTGACTTTTATGTTTAATCTGACAGAGAAAAGAATTTTTTTTAGGGGAAGATACTGGTGATTACTTTCACTTTATAATGATAATGTTTAGACTTTCAATGTTTCTAATTTCAAAGGTCAGAGAAGCAAAACAAGTTTCCCTAGTACTTTTAGTGAAATGTGCTTGTCACTTTTAATTTAAGAAATTTTCTTTCAGACTTGGCATAATTTGTCAATTTCAAATCTCATTTTTTTTTTAAAGGATGTGACTAAAGCAATTGACATAACCACTCCAAAAGCTGCCAGAAGAGGGAGAAAGAGAAAGGTAATTCTACTGCTTAACCACAAAGATCTTAAAATAATTTTTATTTTAATTGGATTGAGGAAGTGTAGAGATAATGAAACCATATCATTTAATTTAAACTTAGTCTTTTTTTTTAAAAAGTAGATTATGTTGTTTACTTATCAAAACTGTCTTTTCTTAGTGATATAGAACCCTTTCGTTTACCACCCTTAAGTGGTAAACAAAATAAAATGTTCCAATTTTCATTTCTTTTAATGATCTGCCTCCCAACTTTCTCTCAAAAATGGATGATGATATACACTCACAAGATTGTTGAGTGGATTAAATGAGTTAACACATGTGAGATATTTATATTAAATTCTGGTACATAAGTGCTTTATAGGTGTTGTCTGTTATGTTGTTATTTACAACATTGTTGCATGAAATGGGAGTATGTGACAGTTGAGGACAAAGTACATCTTATGCTTTTAATGAATGTTTCTTCTTCCCTATATGAAGTTGTGTTCATCACAACTTTTTCTGACCTATTTATGTCTCAGACTGTTGTTATATGCCAAAGATACAAAGAAAGCTAAGAGTTCTGTCTCTTATAATGAAGTAGAATATGAAAACAAATAATTATAGTGGCTTTTTATCCCCTCTGGGGTGTGTATGTAGAAGAGGCTGTTTTTAACATTTTAAAAGATGGGCAGAATTTTGTCAGGGCAAAGAGCGGGGGTGGGCAGAAATGTGAGGCAGTTTACAAAGGAATAGAGAAAATTTTGCTTCAAACATTTGAAATGCTACATTTCAGTATTACCAGACCGTAAAATTTGAGGGAAGCAAGAATTAAAAAAAAAAACAAAAACCCAATGTTATCCTGAAGAACTTGAACTTAGAGACGTGGTGGGATTGAATCATTTTAAATTTCAGATACCCACTTTTAAATTTCAGATACCCTTCTTTTAAAGCAGTGTGAATGATGAGGACTGGACTGGAGCAGTGAAACCAGTTCACTGATAACTTCATTCAAAATTTTGGTACTCACTTCATTGGCCCAGGCAGAGAATCAGCAGTGAATAAGGAAGATACAGTCTCTGTTCTCATTGAACTTAATATATTTGTTGAGACAGACAGGAAATAACATAAAACAACAGAACTGAAGTGGGGAGTTAGGATTGTGACGTGGTAACTAAATTATGAAAGTTCTTTCTAAAGAGTTAACGTGAGATTTTTAGTAGTTTAGATTTTAAGAATACCTTAGGAGGGAAAGTTAATAGTTGATTGGAAGTGGGTGTGAAGGAAGGGGGAGGAATCTAGGATGACTCCAAGGTGTTGGCTTAGATGACTAGATTATATATATATAGAGAATGCAGGAGATGATGTTTTGGGAGCAGAAGCATGAGGAGGAAGCTGTGAAACACCTTTGGGAATTAGGCTGAAGGTATATATTACTGTGACACCGAAGGGGGAAAGGGTAGAAGTTACAGATGCAATCTCTGATATAAATTAGGATATTAGGTGGGTAGTCAAGGGGGAAAGTTTACTGAGAAGAATGCAGAAACCAGAATCCTGAGGGACTATAGTGATGAAAGGTTGCTTTGTAAAATTTATGGCTGAGAATGAACTGTCAGGAGAATATCTAAGAGGAGGCTATCAAGCTAAACATGGGAGGAGAGAATTTAGGAATGAGAGTGGTCAGTAGTGTCCTGATGCAGAGGGGGTCCGATAAGACTTGACAGTTATGCTCCCCTAGGATACTTTAAGGTCAGACGGTAAGGGCAGATGAAGTAGGTTGAAGAATAAAATGTTTAATGTTAAAAGTTACGCTGTGCTTTTGAAATCTTTGAAGGGAAAGAGAGGGAATGCAACAAGGATTTGCATGGTTAAGGGAGGGTTTTAAAAATGAAAAAATATAGTAGAGGCTTTAACACTTTTTCTTTGCAAAACCAGGCAAGTCAAAGATGTGGAAAGTATAAATTATTGTTAAGTTAAGAATAATGCTGGGTCAGAGAAAAGGAGACCACATTTGAAAGAATTGACTTACTGGGAAAGAGACGGACATTTCATCTTTTTTAACATTGACAGGAAGGGTGCAGGAAGACTTAAAAATTTCTACGAAGACTTGGAAATTAAGAGAATTCTTTTTTGCTGGCCTCAGTCTTTCCCTTACCCAATTCAAAACAAGACTGCATGTATGTTATAAGGCAGGAAGAAAGGATTGGAAGTTTATGCTAGAGGAAGGAGAAGGAGAGGGCATGACAAAAGACAGCATAAAGGATTAATGGATGGCTTGGAGATAAAACTGAAGTTGCATAAAATGAATGCATATTTGTATAATTTTTTTTCCATCAGGGCAGGAAATAACAGAGCAGGGAAAGTCAAGTTTCATAGTAATCCTCTGTTGGAGATTTGTGAGATAGGTGTAGCAATACAAGAATGTAGATGAATAGTGGTCCAGTGAGGTTTTTGCTGGCTGGAAGGACTTTTTTATAAAATAATGAAGGGAGTAAGAGCTAGAAAGTGAGGTAATGAATGGGGAGAAAATTTGTCAAAGGGTTAGAGGTCTCAGATCAAGTAAAATATGGAAGAAGTTAATTTGCAGTCACAATATTTGCATTTAAGATATTTCAAATATGTATATTTGAAATAACAATACATTTGAAATAATATATGTATATTTGAAATAACAATACATTTGAAATAACAATATTCCTTTATGAAGATGAAATATCCTTTGCTTTTACTTTCATGAGGAATGGTTTTGACTTGCATGATTTTGCTATAATAGTCAAGAATACATGTCTGTTGAAAGGGCTGGATTTTTGCTTTTAGTGTAGTGTTAATATATTTTTATCTGTGGCATTAGTTATTGACGAACTTGTTACCTCTTACTGGTATCTCCTCAGAAAGATTCATACCTGTAACTCTTAGGCTGTCATGATTTATTTCCAGAAGTCAAAAGTGTAAGTGAAGAGGGTTTTTTTTGTTGTTGTTTTTGTTTTTTGTGTTTTTTTTTCTGCACTGAAGAGCTCATCAGTTTGAAATGAATTTTGGAGAACTTCTGCCCTCCTAACTTCTCAGTAGGACAAGAACTCCCAAACAGTCTTGGGTTTTCAACTTTTGGTACAAAAACAGATGCCCGGGTCCCTACTCCAGAGCTATCAAATCAGGATGGGGGTAGGGGAAGGTGGTCTGTAAATTCTTAAAATTATGGAAATACAACATGAGCTAATGTTTTTGAAGCAATTTTTGTAATGTTCTTGGGAACATATTCAAGGATTATTACCTTAGATGAGTTTATTGACTTATTTAATAATGCTTTGAATATACATTATTATATTCCAATTACAAAAGCAAAAATACTTAAAAACTAACAAAGAAATGGATAAATTCTTAGAAGTGGGATTGCTGAGTCAGATTTGCATATCTACTGCTGATAATCATAAAAATATTCTTTCAGAAATGTATCACCAGTATTTTTTTTTAACTTTTGGGGGTGGGTGGGTAATTAGATTAATTAATTAATTAATTTTAATGGAGGTGCTGGAGATTGAACCCAGAACCTTGTGCATACTAAGCACATGCTCTGCCACTGAGCTGTACTCTCCCCACTCCAGTGTATTGTTTTGATAATCATTAATCAATATGTGAATAATTCTCTACATCCTCACCAATATTGGGTATTATCTTGTAAGTGTTTACAAATCAGATTGTTGATTAAAAGATAAAAATTTTTATCAGTAAGATTGGATTATGTACTTTTTTTCATGATGCTTTATTGCTTTTATTTTTGTTGAGGCTGCATTCTAAATAATTGGGGTGGGAAAATAGCTCATAGTTGACTTCCCATTGTTTGTTCTCATCACTGTTTCTCTTCTCTCTTTCCGATTATGTTGTTATGTTTGCGTTGCCTTTCTAATTGGTGCCTTTCTTCTACCCTAATTCTTGAATCGATTAAACTGATTCTCATTTGGAGCTATTGTCTCTTCACGGGGGCATTATAGTTTGCAGAGGGTCACTGGGATTTCTTTAAGTAGTAAATCCTTCTTTATGGAAGGGAATAATTCCTAGAGAAGAACAGCAGTTCTGTCTCAGTTCAAAAATAAAATATGTATATATTAACAAAGTTAAAGAATAGAAACACCGGCAACTTAATTTCTTACCTTTCCTAAAATGGATTTAGGTTTTATATCGTAAGTACAGTGTAAAGTATTAGCATTTTAAGATATTTACTGAAAGTACATTTATAAGCAATATGTGGGCTGTTAGCAGTGCAGTTACATTATACTTTGTTCAACATTTTGCATCAAGAATATTCACTTTATTTGTACAGTGACTTTTAGGTTGAGAATATCTAGAAGTGAAATTTTTTGATTGTTTTCTAGAGTTGTTCACTAGAATTAAAAGCTAAGTTTGAGGATGTCACTCTGTGAAGTCAACTGTTGAGACATAATAAAGATCATATAAGTTATGCTTATATTTGAACTTGTTACCTTACAGTGGCATATTTTTCTTGCTGAATTAAACTTAGAATGCCTGCTTTGTGCTAAATAAGTTAACTGAATCTTTGTGATTCAGGCAGAAAAACAAGTAGAAACCGAGGAGGCAGGAGTAGTGGCGACAGCAGCAGCATCTGTTAATCTGAAAGTGAGTCCTAAAAGAGGACGACCTGCAGGTAGGACTGTTCATGTTTAAATCTTTGGGTTGTGATTAATCCCTCATCCATTAAAGTGTTGTACCTCCCCTATTTTGGAATAGGTGAATAGGCAATTAGTTATATGTGATATATAAATTTCAAAGGAGACAAATAATAAGGTATTTGCTCTTTGTAATAAAGTATTTAAATTTGAAATAATTGCTTGAGACTTTTCCCATTTTCTGTTTCATCTCTATTATATTTTCCTTTAATATTAAGCAGCAAATGAGGCTGTAGTAAGGTTTAAATTCTATGAATGATGGGTTTATTTTACCTCTCACTTTAGAAAACTTAAGCTTTCCAAATGTAGTCAAATGCTCTACCCCGAGCTATACCCCTTTAAGCTTTCCAAATGGAATCCTAACAAAAAGAAAAGAAAACAGCATTTGAGTAGCCAAAGCTATTGATTTTAAAATTATTATATTCTTTCTTTATTAGAACCTTTACAATTTGCAGCTTTCTCCAGCATTGCCCATGTAAAGCATTTTTCTAATTTGGCAAATATGAAATAGTTTGGAAGGATCTGCCTCTAATACAGAGTTAAACCAAGAAACCACTAGCCAAGACAGAGCCGATTGTTCTTTTCTACTTCATAATACAGGATTCTTGATGAAACAGGATAAAATGAGTGATATTCAAAAAGAAAAGAAAACCTGAGAATTTGTTTATGTAATTTTTACTTTGGAATTTAATATTTTAATAGATCAAATTAATGGTGTTTAAAAATTCAGTAAATTCTGGTAACAAATTTTCAAAGATGTGTACATATACACATAATGTTATATGTATATGAATATTGAATATAAGTGCTGCTGTTTACTATAAAGTTGAAGTTTTGTGACATTGCTGTTAAAACAATGAAGGATGTTCTTTTAAGCCCTCAGCCATTCTAAAGACAAATTGAAAATACTCTTTTTACCTCTCTAAATTTTCTGTTACTCATTTGAACCATTGGAGGATATGATCTTTAAAACCTAAAATAGCTGTATCTGTAATAAACTACCATTTAATTAGTACATACCATTTGTAATTTTTATATGTGAGATTTGAATCTTAATGGGAAAACTGGTAGTTAAAAAAATTTTTTTTCCTGTGAATGTTAGCTACAGAAGTCAAGATTCCAAAACCAAGAGGCCGACCCAAAATGGTAAAACAGCCCTGTCCTTCAGAGAGTGACATGTGAGTTTATCTTTATTTAAGTATGTCTAAATTTCTTTGCATTTTTGCCAGTTTTATTTACAGGATGTTTGTTGCTATTACTATTTTATATTTCTAAGAACTATAGAAAAATCTTGAAAAACAGTTTTTATTATGTAAAAAGTTCAAATTGATAGGGAATCAAGAAAAATCTGATTATCATTTCATTAATCTAAGATTTTATTTCATATATCACATATAAGATACTTAGATAATGCAGGGTAAAGTTTATAATAGGGAAATTGAATTAGCTAGTATGTTTAAGAAATTTTTAGACAAAGTATTTTGGAAGCAATTTCCACTAATGGTTTTTGCTCCTCCAGAATAATCTTTATTTAAAAATAACACTAAAGTTATTTTTGTAAAATAATCTTATTTAAATCATTTTGGAATGGTAACTACATTGGTAATCAACAAAATAATCAGTTTTTTCCTTGCCACCTTTCTTTTCCGTTATGGATCTTGTTTATGTTGGCTTTTTTGGGTAGAAGCTTCTCCAGAAGAAAGGCATATTTACACAGGGCAAAACTTTGTAGGTTCTGTTTTTGAAGATTTTATAGGAAAGGCTCAAGGGAGTATGTCATTTAAGAATGGATTTACAATGTTTTGAATGAAAACATTTTATAGGAAATTTTAGTTAGAGAACACTAGAGTGGTGGTACTTTTTAACCAATATATGTTTAAAGAGTTTTATTTTACTGCCAAGCTAGCTGTTTAAATATTCTCAAAAACAGTGGCACAAAATTACAACATGGTTTTAACTACTATTGTGAAATTAAGAAATTGGGTTCATGCAGGTGAGTTTATGTTTTTAAACATACCAAATAAAGCTCCCTCACCCCTCCCTAAGATGTCTTCTCTAATCAAGGAATCAGGCATAAAGTCTAGGATTTCATGATCAGCATAAGGTCTTAAATTAGAAACTTAGGAACACGTTATCTGCTCCCCTTGCCCCTTTATATATGCACATAGATCTGGGATAGGAAACCACAATGAATATTCCCAAGGAGGAGATTAAGAGGCACACAACAGTCATTGTTTCCTAAGAAATAAGAGATACTGTTGGGAAAATATTGAGATCCCTGTTTTAGATAAAAGGAATGTTCCCTTTGGTTAGGTATGTCCTAGTTTTCCCTTGAGAGTATATGCCTAGTCTGTTTCTCTCCATGGCTTTTGACTGATTCCTCTGAGAGTTCTCCACTTTGTCAGTATCATCTCAGTTGCATTGAAGAGTATAACTCTCCTTATTAGCTGAGCAGTTTTCTCAGTCTGCTTTCATACTTTCGGGAGTTGGGTCCAAGTTTCCTTTTCAGATCTCCATTACTTTCTCTTAATGTAGGCTGGTGTCACTTTGGGTTGTAATAATACTTAGTGTGTATGTGTGTTTCATTCTTGTTAGCTTCATGTGCTATGGTCTCACTCATAAGACTTCTCCAGACATGCTTATCTCTCTATACTTAACTAAAAGTACTTTGAGTTTATAGGTTTTCCTGAAAAACCCACTCCCTAATTTCTTTTCCCTAGAATCATTTGTCTGTCAGAAGGATCAAGTAGTACAATTTGAATTCTTAAGGAAAGGCTAGCAGCTTATACCCTTGATTGGATTTTTGACCCCAGCCTTTGTCTGAATTTGAAAATCTTTCACAGGATGGAAGTGACTTTCAACAGTGAAATATATGGAATTTTTTTCCTCCTTCCTTTGTCATCGTATTATTTTTTGAATTCACCTCTTTCTTGAAGTACCCTATCAAATTTATTTTGATATAACCAACTCAAGATGACAATATTCTATCTTGAAACCTCTTCGCCCAAAGCCACAAGGTCACTGAATAAGTTTTCTTTCCAGTTATCACAGATGACAGTTTTACTCATTGTATATTAGCATTTCAAAACAAGTGTCACATTTTTTTAGGTTTGGTGATGGACAACCCCGAAATAGCAATAGCTTAGAATATTTATTTCTCATTCATGCTATATGTAGGCTGTGCATTGGCTATTACAGCTACTCTCAGCTTTGTATCTGGAAAAATACTCAGAGTACACAGCAAACCTATATAAGCCCTTTTGAAACTTATGCCCTCCACCATGAGAATAGCATGTATATACTAGTGACAGCTTTTTTGCAATGGGTCCTGAAATGATAAGACAGTGGAATAGAGTCCAGAAGAGCTGAAACCATCTCATAATCCTCGTGTAAAGTAAAAATATTTGTTATAAGCCACTGAGATACTAGGTTGTGTTTACAATAATTTTTGCTTATATTAACATGTATTTATAGTTTTCTGTAGTCTTTTAATGTTTCCAATTGGATCTTGACCTTTAAAAATTTTTTTTTTTTACCAAATTTCTAAGCAGTTAAATCTGTTTTTCATAGCAGATGGTAAGAAGGACCATTAGGAAAAAGACGTGTGTAGCATGCTGTGATAGTTAACGTTTATGGATGTTCTCTGCTTTAATACTATTTTAAAAACTTTGAAATAATAATTCCATTTCTTAAGACCTTATGATACATTTTAAAATCTACCTTTCAAAAAGAAAAGCAGCTGCATGGTATTTTACTGTGTATGTATCATAATTCTCAAAGTTTATCACATGTATGGATACATTTTTTTGAGAGTCATAGTCATCTGTTGTTTTGTACATGTGCAAATATATTGGTTAGAATACTTCGCTAGAAGCAGATTTGCTGTGTGGGATATTTTTATTTTTGATATCTGTTTCCTTCTGTAGGAGGTAACATTTTGGGGGAAGCAGTTGGTCAGTATCTATTAAGAGCCATGGAAGTGCCTTTTATTTGATTCTCTATTCCCATCTCCATGAAATTGATCATTATCAAAATATTTATACTTGTGGAAGTACTGAAGAAAGTTAAATTTTACTTGATGCTTTTTCTTCCATTGATTAATAGTAAAGGATGAAAGCCATGTACATTTGAAAATAAACATAGCCAGTGATAGTTATGCGACAAAAATTTTCTAAAGAGATAAAAAGTGTTTTTTTCTCTTCCATTTTAATGTCTTAAGAGTTCAAGGAAGCAGTTGTCTGGTAGGAGGTCAATAGATTTGGAATTGAGATAATGGGCTATTTGACGTTTTGCACCATCATTTTCTTGCTTGTCAAATAGAATGGGCTGGACTGAGTGATCTGGGGTCCTGTCCAGCTTTCATATCCATTATGTAATTGTATAATATGTGAAAATCTCAGTGAAATTCCTTGAACACTGTTTAATATTACGCTTAATTGGCCATATAGTTTACCATTATATGCATAAGTTGGGAGTCTTTTATGTTGCAAAGAATATTTCTTTAAATTTTAAAATGACCATACTTCACCATATACAGTTCGCTTCTGCAACTGTATTTTTCCCAGCATGGCTACTTCTTAAACATAATTTATTCTTACAGTTATGTAGAATATGAGTTCTGTAAAATCTGGGGATCTCACACATCTTACATAGTGCTGTTCCCCAGAGTCAAGAATAGTACCTTGGCATATAAGAGTACTCAATATGATTTTTAAAGTGAATGAGTCACGTTACAAAAAACTTGGAAAACAAAGGAGGAAATCACTTTCCTATTACTCTAATGCTATTATAATTTTTGTATCTTCTAACTTATACTAAAAAGATTTTTTTTCTTTTATGATTGATTGATAATTATACTCCATTATATTTTACTTAAAGATATTTAAAATATGTTTTTAAATAAAAAATTACATATAGCTTATTGTTACCCAAAATACTTATTTGATTAACTTGGAGAGTATGGTTGAGTGACAAATATTAATGATACATAAAAGTCCATTTTTCATTGTTTTACTTGTGAAATAGGGTAACTGAAGAAGACAAAAGTAAGAAAAAGGGGCAAGAGGAAAAACAACCTAAAAAGCAGCCTAAAAAGGATGAAGAGGGCCAGAAGGAAGAAGATAAGCCAAGAAAAGAGCCAGATAAAAAAGAGGGGAAGAAAGAAGTTGAATCAAAAAGGAAAAATTTAGCTAAAACAGGGGTTACTTCAACCTCTGATTCTGAAGAGGAAGGAGATGATCAAGAAGGTGAAAAGGTAGAATGTTTATGTATCAAATAAAATGTCTGTTCCATTTTTAGTTTCCTATGTAGTTCTTAATCTTTGTCTAGCAAAGTTTCATTATCTTTATGAAAGGCCATAAATGTGATTAACAGCTAAAATGAATTTCTTTACCTTTCTCAATAAACTTTAATTAGCTGTGTTAAAAAGCGTATTTGAAACTTTATTGTACATTCTATCTTAGCTTTTCATAATTATGATACTGAAATTAAATGTTGCATGATAAACTTCCAATAACCCCACTTACCTAGAAAAGGTAGGAAAGTAGAGAATTAAGCTAGATAGAATGTGACCAGTGAAAAATCTACATTTATACGTAGGTTTTTATTGTTTACTTCAATGAGATTCTTAACACTTAAGGCCTATTCAGTGTACATTTTATTAGTGGTGCTTTATTTGGATGCCACAGTTGTTCTGGAATTTCATTAAAGATATACATTGCTTTCCATATAAAATGCAAGTTTCGTGTATGGCCTTGGAAACCTATACAGGTCGCGTAGGTCTTTCATTTATCGAATTGATGATTACGTCAGAGGCCAGAAACTTTAAATTCAGTAGGTCGAACATTGTACTGGTCAGAAAATAGTTACTGAAGTCAAAAATCATAGTGTAGAAGCAAATAGCCTGATGTACGTCATTTTAACTGAAGGATTATCATTCCTATAGCGTTATCCTAAATAGGTTATCTCAGAATCATCAAGGGGAAAGTTAAATTTAGATAGCAACGACATGTGTGATTCTGAGGTGTTTTTTTTTTTTAATTAGTAGTTTAAGTATTTTTCCCTTAAGAAAGTTAGTTGCTGCTTTTCTCCCAAGGTTATAATCAAAGAAGCATTAGTCACTGACTAGATAGTTAATTAAAACCATCCTAATTCTCTAATAAAACAGAAGAGAAAAGGTGGAAGAAACTTTCAGACTGCTCATAGAAGGAATATGGTGAAAGGCCAACATGAGAAAGACGCAGCAGATAGAAAACGCAAGCAAGAGGAACAAATGGAAACTGAGCAGTAAGTATCTTTTTATTCTAAATTTTGATTTCTTTTTTAAGCTGGCATGAAATTTTTAGACAATAGAATCTCATTTTCCAGACTTTATGAAGCCTTTTAAGGAAGTGACTTTTTCCATGTGTTAGAAAAATGTCTTCAGTACATGATGATAATCATGTGTCAGGCTTCATTTTTCTTCTGAGTGAAGAGGATGAAATTCACTGAGATAATCACCCTGTGAATTATTTTTAATTTAAATGGAAAGTGCAGATAGGGTTTAACTGTTAGTGGCTTTGTGGAAAATATTCTTATCCTCTACTATTTACTTGTATAATATTAAATGCAGAAAGATGAAAATAAATTAGTGGTTAAAGAATGAAAGACATACTCGTATTTGTCATACCAGCAGCAGGCCTCCCCCTGAAGACCAGCAAAAATAACAGAAGCACAGTTGGAAACCCAAGAAGCCAGTAGAAGTAAATCTAAAGGCTGATAGGGTTTGCATTAGACGTGTGCAGTATAAATCAAGTTCAACTAGCGAGTGTTGATACTTGGAGACAATAAATACCATGGGGAATTTCTTTCCCTTTTAATTTTATTCTATAAAATAACTTTATTAGAAGGAAAATAGCAGTGGCAATGATGATTAGGCTTCATGTGTTTATTATATTTGTTTTCCTAGTTATCTTTAGACTGTCACTTCTGAGTTCTCTCTGAAAAGCGTTTCTCTCTCTGAAGCGTCTTGCATTATTCTGACTAAACTTTGTTTTTTGTTTTAGTGAAGAGGTGATTTTTAAAATATGCTCTAGATCACTAAGACAAACTTAATGATAAACAGTGGAAGTTCTTAAAGCTATTCTTAAATAATTTTGTACTTTTCCTTTAATACATCTGTAAGCTGAAAGTCTTTCTTGATAACTATAGTGTTTGACCATCTGCTTTCTTAATTTTTTGGAGGATATATAAGCAGTTTAAGCTGCTTGAGGGAGTAATTTAAAAATTGATCTAATGCTCAGAAATGTTACTCCCTCTAATCTGTTAGGCTTTGACCATTTATGTAAATACTAAAGTTATTTTTTGTTACCTATCCTTCTCTGTCTTTTCCCTGAAAAGTTGTTGGACTGTTCGTTGCTTTTAACATTATTGTGCTCCCAAAATTAGTATATAAAATTAGTTGTTGCTTAGTAAATTTAGCCCAACCCTTCTTCAGTATCTCAAAGTTAATCTTTATGTGTTTCAATTTCTTTTTGAATGTCCTCCGAATGTAACTTTCTCAGATTCTAATATTTGTGTTTTCTTTCCTTCTCCTGTTATTACAAAACTTTGTACTTGGACAGTTTTGCTCTGTAAAGCATTTCAGATGCAGCTTGTATGAAATGCATTATGCAAAATAAAGTTTATTGTATTGTATTCCCAGCCAAACAACATGTAATCTACAGTAATAAAAAATATATCTCATTTTGGGCTCAAAGCATTAATCCAGTTACTGAAAAGAGAATACAAGTGGAGCAAACAAGAGATGAAGATCTTGAGACAGACTCATTGGACTGAATTTCCCCCTCCCCCCCTTCATGGAAGAATGTTCCAGATTCTAAATTGAGGACTTCATTAATGGCATTATAACTGTGTTATGATTGTTAAGAAACATTTCCTGTAAGGTACACACTACATACTAAGGTCGGCCATCATTCCTGTTAAAAGTTTTTTACCAAGCTTAAAATGAAGCTTTGTGTTTGAAAGTTACAAGCTCAGCTGAAGATGGTGGTTGTACATTATTTCATTTAGAAAATATAAAAATTCATTTTGTTTTGAAGCTAGGTGGTAAAACTGGAATAGCTACTATACCCTAGAGAATGGGGCAGTTGTGCCCTTCCCTTGACATTCCTTTGTTGTTTAATTCTTTAGCATATTAATAACTGTTTTTTTTTAGTCCTGAGAGATTAAACAGTAGACTTGTTAAGAAAATAAAAATGAAACTGTAACCAAAATTTTAAAATAAAGTTTTTTTAAAAAAAAAAAACCTGATTTTTAGATATTTTTTGTTCTTGTCTATTTCAATTGGTTTATTATAATAGGGCCCAAACTCCAAGCCAAGGTACTAGAAATTATTAAGAATTCATTTTTAAGTGGTTATTTTTGTGATTTACAGTAAAATGGTACCTTTTCATTTGTGAAATGATATGGAAATGTTAGTGAATGTCATTTAGGTTTGATACATTGGCAAAAAGAAAAAACCCACCCTATTAATAATAATAGTATTATCTTTCAGCAGTCTAACCTTGAAACTAACTTTGAACCCTTCAATTATCCACCTTTTGGAGATGGTGGGAATAATTAAATCAGTCTATTTTGACATGCTGCTTTAAAAATTGTGATGTAGAATTCATGAAACATTTATAGGCATTCTCTTCCCACTATGGCTTGTTTGTCCATTGACCCTGAAATGGTCTTTTATCACACTCCTTTTGGGGAAAAACTTTCACCAGGGCAGCTGTTAAAATTATTTATGATGCCACTGAAAAATTAGATTGTTAGATTATTTATTTTAGCATATTAAGTTTTACATGTTTTGAGTTTTGCTTATATTTATACTAATTAATACCAAGTGGCATTGCAGAGTTCTAAAAAATTAAGTCTATTCCTTGTGATCTGGGTTACTGACTTACTATTTTAAAGAAAAAAAAATTTAGTGTTTACATAAGGGATTGTGGGCTTTTGGTAATCAGTCACAAAGTTCCAATGTTTTTGAAATATTTGTGTTAACATTTGATAGGCAGAATAAAGATGAAGGAAAGAAGCCAGAAGTTAAGAAAGTGGAGAAGAAGCGAGGTTAGTTATTTCACTTTCTAAGACGTACAAAATTGTATTATACATAGAAAGGAAGTTATATATTTTTCATGTATAGGTTTAGGATGTATAGGATTTTGAAATCAACTTGTCATTTTATGTTCCTATCCTACGAGTGTATTTTTCTAAGTCTGTATACTTTGCATTGTTTGGGGGGGGGTGTTTATTTGAATAGAGGTATTAGGAGTTGAACCCAGGACCTCATGCATGGCATGCACTCTACCAGTGAAGTATGCTGTCCCCCTATATCATTGTATTATCAGTATTATCATTATTATTATCAGGTGAACTTGCTAAGCAGTCATTTATTATTTTAATGCTCATTATATGATGAAGTCAAATTTTTATAATGTTGCCAAAAGGTAGATGTTTTCCCATTTTTGGTGAATCTGGTTTCAGATAGATTTTCTAGTTTTGGTTAAATGCATTAAGGGTGAAGCACGTGTTTAAGGATTGCAATAGAGGAGTTACTGGATGCAGATTGCTTATTTTAGAAACATGCAGCTAGATGCTGTTTCTTTGCTGACATGATGAATGTTGGTTTCCTGAACCAAGTACTAAAAATGGCAGATAACTTCTTAGTAATGTTGGAAGATTACTAAGAACATTAAAAAAAAATTTACCAAGTCTTTCCATTATACTTTGTTTAGATTAGACAAAAATACTGGTTTTAGAAAACCATATTTACTGTGTTTCGTATTTTAATTTATAGAAACATCAATGGATTCTCGACTTCAAAGGATACATGCTGAAATTAAAAATTCACTCAAAATTGATAATCTTGTAAGTGTTTACTACCTTATTAAAAATACAGTGCTCCTTTTATAGCTTCATTTTTTATTTCCTCATTATTTTATAAGTATGTATAAATTTTGAGATAAAAGACTTACTGGTTATTTTGTACTGCCTTGTTATTTGAGATTTCAAAAGTAAACTCCAGAAATAATTACATAGGTTATGGTAATTAACAGTTATGAAATTAATGTTTTGTTATGAAGGATGTGAACAGATGTATTGAGGCCTTGGATGAGCTTGCTTCACTTCAGGTCACAATGCAACAAGCTCAGAAACACACAGAGATGATTACAACACTGAAAAAAGTAAGTGATGTTGAGTTATACAGATTTCAAAAACTTCCTCATCACCACTTTATTAAATAACATTTAAAAAATCAATTAGGAAAATTATGAGCGTCTGTTTTGTTTTCTCAGATACGGCGATTCAAAGTTAGTCAGGTTATCATGGAGAAGTCTACAATGTTGTATAACAAGTTTAAGAATATGTTTTTGGTTGGTGAAGGAGATTCTGTGATCACACAAGTGCTGAATAAATCTCTTGCCGAACAAAGACAGCATGAGGAAGCAAATAAAACCAAAGATCAAGGAAAGAAAGGGCCAAACAAAAAGCTAGAAAAGGAACAAACAGGTATGTGGTAATAAATTGTTTGCTAGGACTACTTTTAAAAAATGGCTTTGATATTTAATCTCATTAATACTTTATCTATATTAAATGATGAAAAAGTTATAAAGCACTTTGAGTGTTCAACCTTAGCTTCTGGATTTTTTTTATCATTAAGTTTTCATCAAGTTTAAATCAGCAGTAGTTAAATGCTACTAGTATTTGCTAGTAGTAGTAGTTGCTATTCTCTTTTCGTTTAAATTAGGAAAGGTTTCTAACCTACACAGAAGTAGAGAGAAATGAATTTCTCATCACACAGCTTCAGTGGTTATCAGTACATAATCACTGCTCTTCTATATCCCCTTCAAGTTTTTCTGTTGACACCCCTGAAGATTATTCTGAAGCAAATTCCAGATAAGCTATTTCAAATATTTTAGGATGTATATGTGACCAACACTTATGACAGAAAAGGTATACCTAAAAGATACTGTAGGTTTGGTACTACACTACTGCAAAATGAGTCACAAATTTCTTGGTCTCCCAGGGCATATAAAAGTTGTTTATACTGTAGTCTATTAAGTGTGCAACAGGAGTATGTCAAAAAAACCAATGTACACACCTTAATTTACAAATACTTTGTTACTAAGAGAATGCTAACAAACCATCTCCAGTCTTAAGTGAGTCATAGTAGTAAATGTCAAAGATCAGTGATCACCGAAACAAACAAACAACGGAAAAGTTTGAAATACTTTGAGAATTACCAAAATGTGACCAGAGACGTGAACTGAGCAAGCTGTTGGGAAACTGGTGCTGATAAACATGCTTAACACTGGGTTGCCACAAACGTTCAATTTGTTTTAAAAAAAGGGGGGGGGCAGTCTTGGAATCTTTGAAGTGACAGTAAAGCGAAGTGCAGTAACACAAGGAATTCCATGTACTAAGTGTCTTAGTGGCAGCTGCTTAATGTAGAAACCAATGTTCAGGGGGAGTTGGATTTTTGTTATTTATTAGGGAATGATACAGGTCTCCTTAGAGATTTGTTGATGAAATAAGTTTTACAGGGAAGCCTTCACCATTTACTTATAGGAGACAAAATCATGTTAATTAGGAAATACTACTTTTTATACTTTTTGTTCTTGAATACAAAATCTTACTGTGATTCTCATTGCTTTTTCTAAGAACTAGAATAAATCATAATGCTCCAATTTTAGTCTTGATAACAGTAACTAGCAGAGTAATCAGATTAGTAATGCACTTCTTGTATGGATAGATATATTTGTAGTAACCCAGTTCCTTCAAGGCTGTCTACCCAAAGGGGTTACAGTGTAATTTCAAATAAACTAAAGTAAGTGTTAGAAACTTTGGAATTATGTTTTAGTTTTGATTTTGGGGTCCTTTGAGGATATCTTAAAATATTAGAAGCTTTAACAGTCTTCCCACTTGAATCCTTCTCAAGGTTCAAAGACTCTAAATGGAGGATCGGATGCTCAAGACAGTAATCAACCACAACATAATGGAGATAGCAATGAAGAAAGCAAAGACAACCACGAGGCCAACAGTAAGAAAAAGTGAGGACATGTTTTAATGGGTCGTAATGTATGTTTTAATTTTTAAATCACATCGCTGTTCCAAGTTTACTTATGTAAGGGATTATATTTTCATCTCTCAGTTACTGAATTCAGGATGCAAGATGCAAATCACAATGACCAAAACGTAAAGAAACTTCACTTGCAACTAATAATGCCACCGTATTCAAGGGAACAGAGCTAGGCAGGAATCCAGTTTAAAAAAATAACTATTCTTTGGACTTCTTTCATTGACTGACCTTAAATAATGACTCATATCTGTTGTTTCCTGAATTTTGACAGAATATAGAAATTAGACCTAGAATCATAGGGAATGTTGTATTATAAATACCACTCTAAGATAACTAGCTATGGAATCACAGTTGTACAAATCTTGGTTTGTTCTGCTGTTTGAATCAGGACTTGGAATCAAGCATCCCTTCTAATTCTGAAATTCAGGGAAATCTTGTCTGTGTGTATATTATTCCCTCTGCTTAAGGTTTATAACGTGTTGGTATCACAGATAAAAGATGTTCATTTAAAGAGAATTCATTTTAAAGCTGGAAATGATGGAAAATGGCCTGGGCCATGATGCTTCCCTGAGTTGTACTTTGCTTGATCTGCATATTACTTTGGAAAGAAGACATAACATGGTAAAATTAAATTTTGGGGGGAAAAAAAAGAACAATTAAGTCAAGATTTAAAAAAAAATTATTTTGGTGATTTTTAAAACAGCGCACAGATTTAATCTTTTCTCTCCTGAGGGAAAAAGCCCCTAATCCCGGTTGTCACACCTTTCTTTCCCCCCTTTCTTTAGGCCATCCAGTGAAGAGAAAGAGACTGAAATATCTCTGAAGGATTCTGCACTAGATAACTAGGTTGACATACCTGGAATATAAAGAACATTTGAGAAGTTTGTAATGGTTTTCATTTGAAATATTTAGACTGCTGAAAGTTTTAAATTTTTATAAGCATAGGTTTTGATGTTTAAAACTTGTTTTGAGGGAGAAATCCCTTTATCTTTGTTTAAAAATGAGTAAACATTATTGCTAATTGTACTTGTGCAGTATTAACAGCTACATTATACAGTAAATGTGAGGGAAAGTCCATTTAGGAAATGTTAAACTGCTTTTCCAGACATTGGTTGTAGTATATTTTCAATTAGTGTGTGTACGTTAATGTGCATTGATAGTAGAAAAAGGTTAGATTTTTAAAATTGCTACTTGTATAAACCTTTCCTCTTTTCCCAAATACCATGGGTTTTGTGCATAGTTTTTACAAATCTTGGATTTACCAGACTGTCTTTTCACTGTTTGTGGGTTTTGTAGAAGTTACACATTTTTATGGTAGATAAAATGTTACTTCTATACAAGTGCTCACTCCCCCCTTTTATCAAAAGTTAATTTTAATCTCACAGTCTACCTTGTGCTGCATTATCCTGCTGCTTTGTAATAATGTGTGTGGTCTGTAATGTCTTTTTGTATGACAACTAGATATCCAACTGACATTGAACTGACAATTCTAGGAGGTACAAAACTCATGTTAACTTTTGAAGGCGATTTAGTTTTGTGGCTGGGAATTCAGTGAAGTCACATGACTTTCCTGCAGTAAGCAGGAGTGTGTGTGTATATATATAGAAATGAATCTGGCTTTAGGGTCCAACCATTTAAGATCCTTTACAGGCACTAGTAGCTGAAACTGAAACCTAAATGATAAAAGTTTATTTTTGCGAAATGTCTCAAGTTTCTGAATTTTTTAAAAAGTCACACTCATTAAAGAAGTCACTAAGTATTTTTTTAATTGGAAAAATAGCAATCCATGATGCGTTTGCAGTAAATAAAAGTAAATATATAAGGAAACTAACCTATTTGAAAACTTGGCTGTATCAGAAGGGAATTTTTATTTCTATGTCATACATGTGACAGGATTGCAAAAAGTGGAAACACTAGTTACTCTGAGGCAGTAGACAAAAGTAAAGGAGTTGTCTGTGTATTCATGTTACGGACTTAATCAGGGTGAACCAAGGTTAACACAGTTTAAGGGTAACTTACAGATAGCATTTCTAAGATATTTTGAACATTAGGTCAGTTGGTGGTTTGCAATAGCTTAAAGATACTTCTCATGTTTGGTAACTATAAATATGGGGGAAAGGCTTAATACCAGTGTTTGCATGTGACATGCATTGTATGCTTTGATCTCTCGGGTAATTGTTTTCACCATAGATGAAAAGTTTGAATTATTTCAGTAACTGGAGTTTTGCTTTTGAGAGGTCTTACAATGGAACTAGGACCCACTGTTTTGAGGGAACTCTTGCTATTACATTATATCTGTTTGGTCCTTAATACAATTTAAATTTGGACAGATTTATTCTAGTTAAGCCATAAGTATCAACATGTAAACTTGTTTTGATTAAAGAATTTTTCTATCAAACTCTACTAGTAAATTACTTATTTGCCATTTACAGTAGTATGATAGAATTCTGGATTTGCTTCCAAGAGTGTATAATTTGGTCATAGAAATTGTATTTGGGGACACACGGTTACTAAAATCTAAGCTCAAAATGACAAAAATAAAGGAAATGTTACATAGTTTAACCAAGAAACCACAGGCTGTATTTAGTTTACATACTGGGGAGAGAGACATAATAAATAGCATTCTGATAATTTATGGGCTGACCTTGCTCTAGCCAGTTGATTTATGTAGTCTTAAAACACAGTTGGCTTTTCTTTACCCTCATTTCAAGAAATTTCTTTTGGTCATAAGTTAATTCTCAGATAACTACCACTCAGAATGCTTAAGAAGAAGTCATATAAACAATTATAAATTTTCAGGAGCTCTAGCACAATTTAAATTTGTATTTGGTTAAAATTCCATTAGCTGAATAAGTCAATAAGAGATACTGTAAATGAGATGCCTAGACTCCCCTCCAGCATACTTTTTGTATGTATAAGTAATATCTTTATTTTTTCTCCTGATTTTTTTAACCATCGGATAATGCTATGCATGACCCAGTAGAATCAACTGTTGCATGTTTTCTCAGCTACTGTGGAGAAATTTCAGGTATATCATTTAAATTGGAGAACCTGAATGGGACTTTGTGCAAACAGCTTGACTGGAGCACCTTAAGCCTTATATTTGCTATTATATCCTTAGATTTTATCGAGTTTTTGCTCATAACATCGATTGTAGTGTACCCACACACACTTACCTCGTTCAAGAAGTCAGGTCAAGATGAGGTCTGCCATCTAATCCTGTACAAGAGCAAAGGCTTTTACAAGGCTCTGTGAGGGCTTCACTAACACAACTTACTTTGTCCCATTGGCCAGAGAAAGGATGATCTATTGGAAATAGCAAACCCATAATTACATCTTAAGAAATGGAGAAGCTGCTGTCCAGGCAGAAATGCATTTATATTTGTGCTGTGTAATTCTCCAACCTCAGAGATGATAAAGACACTGCAGTTTGCTTGGGATAAAGATCAGATTATCCTTAAAGGGATACTGAAGCCGAAAATAGGTACTGCTTTTCTAGACAGTGATTTTGTGCATGTGCATCCACTATTATATCAAAATCTGATTCATTTTCTAACTACAGAGGATACTGATAAGTTCATGACAACATTTTCTTTAATGTTTGCCTACTCCATTGAAGTGATACGTGTAATTTAACAGTCATGTTTAATACTGAATTTTACAGCTACAAAATCCCTGCTTCAAGACATCTTTTATGCCTTCAACAAGACATCTTTTATGCCTTCAAAGTTAGGAGTTTCTTTTGACTTGAACTTGATTGGAAACCTGTATAACTGATACATAATACATTGGCAAGTTCTGGGAGTAACATGGTTGGCCTTTTCTCTAGATCTTACCAGGAAATGATTATAGAAAGGTATATGAGCCTTTGTAACTTTGGTGAAGAAATAACCTTAAGAACCAGCAGAATAATCTTAGTAAAGGACAAAATTTCAGTAGCAGTAATGTTTTAACTGACAATCTTCTTTTTCCAGTAAAAATGAATTGACTGGTACCACACATAGATTAATGCTTCTTTATGACATTTACTTTCTGGAATTTGCTGTTTTGAGACTATGAAATGAAAATAAACAGACCCTTACATACTGATGTAAGACCTATAAGGAATGCAGTTAAACAATAAAGGAAGCAAAAATTCATTTTTACCTGTGGAACTTTAAGGAATTAGGTAAATCTATGGTTTTCCAGCAGAATTTTTCAATCTGTTCAAATTTAGCATCATTGGAAACATGAAAGTAAACTTTTAGGCAGTAACAGCCAGCCAGCCATGGAGGGGATCTTAGTTCCTTAATGCAACCACTGGTAGAAATAGGTACTGGTCTTCTTTATACCAGTTGACTTAACTGGATATGTGGCAATTAAGTCCATAAAACATTTCAGTGTCAACCTTTTAAACACATAGTCTTACAGGCTTCATCAGTTTCTGATTTATATGGTAATGTCTTTTCTTAGCCATCCAGGGAGTGTAGAATTCAGATTTATTTAAATATAACCTAGAAAAGAGAAGATGAAATTTAAATATGACACACTTAGAGTGAACTATTTTTTGGCATTCCCAAAAGTCTTAAACAGAAATAAATTTTCCACCAAAAAAGACTTGCAGAAAACATTTCAATATAGGTAGCCATAATTTTCTCCGATGGATCTAGACCTCAGAATTTATCAAAGTTGCCCTACGGCCCAGAATGAGAATAGGATAACTAGGATTTATCACAGCAGGAAGAGCTGGGCTAGAGAAACACTTGTGGGGCAATGGATGAAGCTCATGCTTACCATGCATGAGGTCCTGGGTTCAATCCCTAACACCTCCATTACAAACAATAAAGTGGTAAATTAAAAAAAAAAACAAACGTGTTTTCTTTTTGCATATAGAGTACCGGGTATTATTGCCCACGAATTAAGTGATCCAGAGCTAGCAATCCATAGGATCTTGATTTCCCATGTCCACTCATTGGTCATATTAGATAAAATCTAATTTAAAATTTTTTAGATAATAAAGATATTAAATTGACATATTTTAAACTAATAGCACTTTCTGATTCTAAAAACTTCTGATCAAAAAAATGAAGCTTCAATTTAAATGTTCCTTCTGTGAAGGTAAGAGTATATACTCAAGATCTTTATAATCATCCATACAGGGAGTCTCCAAGTCTTTAGTGAGACTAGTTTCTACCAAAACCTAACATTACAAAAGTGCCCAGTGTAAGATTAAATTACACAATAGTTGCTAATACTGTATTTCTTTTAAAGTACAGTTTTTCCCTTAACTTCTCCCTCATTTTTATTACAGATATTTGAAGGATCTTTACCTTGGAGGCCTCATGGTACAAGGTGTAGCTCTCACATTCTTCAAAGAATTTTCAAAACACTTCCATCACTTGATGTAACGTTAAGAGAACTTTGCTAATAATGAACAAAAAGCCCTCTGGACACAGAATGAATAGGCAAACCAGACTGGGAGAAAACCAAAATACTTGTATCTGACAAAGGATATGTATTCAGAATACATACAGTACTCCTACAACTCAGTGAGACAATTCACTTAAAAATGGGCAAAAAGCATGGAATAAAAAATGTACTTTGGAATAAATACTAAAATAATATATTTCAAAGCATTTAAATACACTCAAGTTTCTTTATAGGAAAATCTGCGATTTGAACTTTTGCAGGGCTGGTAACTTTAGTTAACTGCTTCAAGTTGATCCTGTTCCTCAGTGGCATTTCTTGGAAGTGAAGTAACCATCCAAGAGGACAATTATTTCACAAGGGTACACTTTTGTTATTAATTAAAGGTTCCAGGATCAACATAAGGATAAGCGAGGAATTCCCCCAGTTTGTTGCCTTCTGAATCATAGTGAAGCATTCGGAAGCAAACATCACAAAAGAAACATGGGTCCTCTGGTGCAAAACTGTCATTGTTCGTCACCCATCTGTAGTTAAAAAAGATGTACATCATTACAATCAACTTTTTCATGCTTGAATGTGCTGCAAGTTATGATTTGCAGTAATATGTGAACATAACATTCCCACTACTGCCTTATCATTCTATCTTATTTATACATTATAATCCTGTACATAATTTTGCATACACATATATAGGTAGAGACATAGCACCACCAATACTCTGCAAGGCAAGAGGGTAACTTCTCTGAAAGACTTAACAGGTAAGTAGAAAAGAATATAAATCTATACTTGAAAGCATCCACACTTTTGCTATGACACCTATCCTTCAAATAACTGTTAATATGAACATAATCGTTGTCTGCTAATAGGCCATCTTGAAAATCCATAATATTAGATTCTACAGAGTCAATAAACTTTTTTGCTTATCTAACTGATAAATTAGTACTGGTTATTTTGAAAACTCCAGCTGTTTTACCTAGAATTTAGGATAAAATGTTAAGAGTGTATAACAATGGGGAAATGGGCAATATTATTCAACTGAGATTTTTTGTTCTGAGAAGTTGTATTAAGTGAAAATGGTATTTTTCAGTCTATCTAAATTCTGTATGTCATAACATTTTAACATTTCTTGATTTCTGTTTTGATCTGATACCTAATTTATCATGTTTTCCTATTAATCATCTAGAAAAGCATATTGTGGTGGGGAACCCAAAACAAACAAATGACACCAAAGTCTTCCCTTTTTCTCTGAATGGCTTTTTGACTTTGATGCACAGTTAAACATAACCTAAACATGCAAAACCACAAAACTTTATAAAACCATAATTTGACCTCATTAAAAATGAGCCGCAGTGTTATTTTAATCATGAAGAAGCTGTGGATGAAGCCAATAATGTAAAGCTGCAGACAAGAGGCAGAAAGAACATGGCTCCCTGATGATACCATCATCCAGTATCAACCCAACTAAAGTCTGACCTAATCCCTGGACTTAAACTGTACATCGTAATTCATTTCCTTATTGTTGAAAAATGTGGCTGTAACCTACTAAACTGATTTGTACTAATCTCTATGGCGCTTTCCTACTAGATAAAACCCTTTCTATTATTTATACCCCAAAGTATAAGTCCTCAGATTCAAAATAGAAAAAAACTGAAATCAGTACTTGACTTTTGAGAACCTATACTTCTCAAGGAAAAAAAATCACTTACCTAGCAGTGTACATTTTACAAACAAAACATTTTCTGGTCCAGAGCCAGTGCTTCTTGATAAGAAGGGGATAAAGTGTCCTATCCAAGCAGTCATCATGATGCACAAGCCTTTTGTATGTAAGAAAATAAATGAAGATATTATAGTGCAAATTTCTGTGATCTGTAATGAAACGTATCCTTACCTCAAAATTAAGAACACAGTATGTATATTTTTCAATGTATTGTGTTCCACAAAACACTTTTTCCAAAAGACCATTTGGGATTGTTTTCTTTCCTGTGAAACTTCCCAAATCCCTCTATGGCCATGTGCACTGCAACTCAAGGGAGAAATACTGTAGGCAGCATTTCTTTAACGTATTCCATCAGAGAATCCTTTCTCTGCTCAACATTTAGTACCTTTTTATGGAACACAGTTTGAGCAAGTCTACTGAGTGCTATTTTCCTCCATTAACTGCCTGTGTGTTACAGACATGCTCGCTCGCCCTTTTTTTTTTTTAATTAAAAGAGCCCCTTTACTAAAATCTAAATCTGACTTCTGAAATAATGTGAACTTTAGTTTTAGGTGTCAGAATTAAGAAATTTTATGTGGGAGTCAGTCTCCACTATGACACTAACCAGCTTGGTGTGGGTCTGGATAAATCCCTTAACCATGCTGGACCCAATTCTTCATCTGAAAAATGAAGGGAATGCACAAGAGTATTCTAAAGGTCCCTGATAATTACAAAATTTGATTTTTTTTAAGTAAGAGAGGGTAGCAATATATCAACTTTACCATCAGAAAACGATAAACAAACTTAAGAGTTTACCAACTATTAAAACTGTGGAATGGCATCAATGATTAAATTATCCTATAAAGTAAAAACTACTTGGAGTCAATTACACTTAAACATTTCCTTAGGAAAGTCCTACACTGCAAATGTAGTGTAAACTGTTTTTGCAAATTGCCTTGAATTTAAGGAATGATACTGTATAGTGCCTACGCTGTAAGAAATGTAAGGAAACTCAGACCACCAGAGAAAAGTGGATTGTCTTCCATCTTATGCTTATTCTGATGCACATTCCCCCTCATTTGAATGACAAGCAAGCAGAACAGCTTACATAAAATTTAAAGAACACATTATTGAAGAAATCATAGAAATCTATGAGGCTTATGAGCTCTCCTGGCTCTTCAGCAATTCTTCCCTAGAGAAAACTGTTTTCCTTTCTTATCTGCTTTTTAATATAGCTCCTTAACATCCCTCCACAGAACTACTAAATTTGATTAAATAGGTAGTTAATGTTTAAATTATGACGAATGAATTAAACATCCCCCTAAACCACACAACTATCAGTTCATTTTATTGCATAACACTTTAGTCTTCTAGCTACTAATTCTCCCATGTTTGCATTTGATTAGGCTGCAGTGTACCCGTCACTGATGCAGTTCCCTGCTTTCTGACTGACCAGTAAATGTGCTCTCCATATGGGTTATGCACCAGCGGGAGGTCTAGCAGTCTCAGGACAGGCTTCCTAGGTCCTCTGTCCTGCTCCAGTCTCCGCTCCAAGCTGTTCTCTAGGTCTGTGCTATAGCCATCATTCTGGGACTTCCCTTTCCCATCATTCTGAGAGTTCCTTTCATGTCTTATCTATTGTGCTTTGCATTCCATGTTTTTCTTTTTTAAGGTTTACTCTTTGTGTAAGGTACTTCTGGCAGCTTCCTGAGAATGAGGGCATAGGCGGTAAATTTTTGAAGACTGGTCACTAAAACCCAGAAAAAATGGAAGCAGGGACGTTCTGAAACCAACAGTTCCTATTACCAGTATAATAAAACCGTAAGTCTATCATCGGTCCATAAAGAAAACCTTAAAAATTGTCTCTCAGAAAAAAACCAAGCCAAGAATAGAGCAGGGCTTATACCTATATATTGGTCCTTCATAAACTGAGATTTCCTAAATAATGAAATAAATAGCTTTATTCATTAGAGATACCAGCTATTTCAGGCCTTCCCACTCTAAATCTTTATCAAAGCATGAAGTCTTCATATTTATCAAATATTAGAATTCCTCTCCTTGTAGGCCCCCCTTTTTGGGGGGGCAATTAGTTTTTAAAATTTTACTTTATACGATTAGTTTTTTAAATTTTACTTTATCTTAATGGCGATACTGGGGTTGAACCCAGGATCTCATGCATTCTAAGCATGCATTCTAACACTGAGTTATATACCCTCCCTCGCCCTCCCAGTTCCCTTTTATCTCCTTCAAATTTGGGCAGAAAGAGAAGAAACCTAGAAATATAGTTGCAAATTTGCAAAGCAGAGGGTCTACATGATATACAAAGTGAATGACTATTACTTGAATAATAGCTGTTTAACATACAAATGGAGACACTTTTTAAAGTATTTGCAAATTTTTAACACTTTAATAAACAGCAAAGTATTTATTACAGGTTTTCCAAAAGACAATAGAAGATGCAAATGGATACAGAGTTGGTCACTGTATGGAAAGCTAACACGTGACCCAAGCTGCTGTGATTACTTTTAATTCCTCTTATTGCAACCAAACCAAAAACAAAACAAAACAAAACTACCTGTGCAACAAAGAAAGAAAACAGGACAAACAACAAAATGTTCTGAGTGCTGCCACTTACCTTATGTCAGTAATGACAACAACGTGTTCACAGTCTCCCTGGTGACAGTATAAGTAAGGAAAACCCAGTTTAATATACAAGTCATTAAAGGTGAAATCTTCCATCTTAGCAGTCTGAAACTTGCCATAGCCTCTATCATGGGACTCTGACCACTCAATGATGGTTCTGAAGGGGAGAAAGGATAAGGATGTACCACTGCTCCACAAATGGTTTGTGACTGCAGTACTTCACCAAAGCCAGCTCACCCAATTAACTGGACAGCTACCATCTTGAGATGAAAGTCAGAGTGGTTGATCCATGTTGCAAGGAGGAAGGAACTCTGAATCCCTCTGCATCAGTTAGAGCAGCAGTTCTCAAAGCATGGTCCTGAGACCCCTCAGAGGTTTGGGAGGCCAAAGTCACCTTTACAATAATCCTAAAATATCACTTGCCCTTTTCAACTTATTCTCTCATAAATGAACCAGTTTTCTGGAGGCTATGTGATGTGTGTTAGCACTTCAAATTGAATGGAAAATACGTAACACCCTTCTCACTACTTTGTTTTGGAAAACAGTTATTTTTCACAGAAATGTTATTAATGGTAACTAATGGGACTATTTTAATCAGTTAATTTTACACAACCGTAAATCAACTATAGTTCAATAATACTGGTTAATATTTAAAATATTTCTTAGTTTCAGCTTCTAATATGATAAATATTTACAGTTATAATACTCATAAACAGCTCTTTGGAGTCCTCAATTGTTTACAAAGGAGTAAATCTTTTTTGGCAGAGACCCAAGTCCAAGAACTGCTGCATTAGAATATGGATATAAATGACTATAGTAAGAATTTATTTAAAACTCTCAGAAAAAATATACATATACACTCTAGCTGCCACGTCACTAATAATAAAAGTACAGCAATGCTTTTATGTAGGTAATGATACTAGATAAAGATTTTTCATGTTATGTACTTAAGCAACTATATATACATATACACACACACATACATATATACACACACACACACACACACTCCTAGGGCGAATAATGGAATACATTAGACAAGCAGAAAAAATAGTGAAAGATTAATTTACTATCACCTAAATATGAAGAACAGAGATTAATAAAGCGTGTTTAAGTGGTATTTAATCTTTTTTAGATGTATCTAAGGCTAAACTCAAGACTTACTATAATTTCTAAAAGAGTTGATAATATATTTAAAAAATAATTTGAGATAGCTGACAAAGATCTTGAAATTAGAGTGTAGGTGTGTCTTTGGTAAGAAAATTTTCTTCTTGGGAAAAAAATTTGATTAACTTATAACCTAGGTGAACCAGATGAAATAACTTGGAAAATATTTTAAAAACATAATTTTTAACCCTCAAATAAACAAAACAATCTAGCAAAGTAATTCCTTGGCAAAGATCCTTAACAATAAAGACCAATAAGAGAATTTGTGGAGACACCACTATTTTGACAACTAGAAACAGAAAAGACTTTGAGAAGATTTTTGGAAAGTATACCTGCTCAAATCTCTGCACTCAGGGTACCTTTTATCATTGTAAAATGTTCCTTCAAAATAAAAGAAGGCTGATTTGTACAGGTCCTAGAAGAAAACAGATCGCATTGAGAGAAAGCTCAGTATTAACAATTATGAAACTGCTTTAAGTATTCCATATTTGTCATAAAAATCACACTAATATGTTTTACAATAACTTCATGCAACTTCACAGATATGCTCAGCTCATTTATTTAACACTTAATGGGAACCTCTTATGTGACAAGTATGTTAGTTAGCAGGGGTAAAGGTGTAAGGACACAATCCTTTCTGCTATTTTCAATTTTATCCTATTGCTGTTTTAATTACTAGATTTGATTTAAATGTGTATATTCTCCTAGGATTCATGAAAGGAACCCAATTAGAACTGAAATAAACTTCAATATTATTTTATTATATGCAGACAGAGCAGTGACATTTTGGGTATCAGAACTAAAAACTAAACAAAGTTAGATCTTTGACGTTTCTGCAGTGATAACAATGATCATGGAGTTCTGCTGTTCTGTCATTTGTTTTGTATTTTCAGTGGGCCTTCATAAAAACTCTCTCTCTATATTTTCAATAACTCAGCCAGGCAGAATGTGAATTTCTATTCTCACTCAAGCAATCTTGACCAAAGTACCATAGTAGGTGCACAAATGGTCTGAACCCTCATGTTTCAAATTTCAGTCTACCAGGCTTTCCATCAGAGGGGTGGTCTCTTAATCCTGACTTCATAACAGAATCCCCCATCTACAGATAACCCAGCATTGGCATCAGACACTTCAATTTTCATGGCTTTAAGTATACGCTGGTCTCTGTAAGTCTCTCTAGCCACATTCTCTCTTGGTTTCTAGACCCATTATTTTTAAGTGCCTACTGGACATTCTCACTCAGCCTCAGTGCTGCTGGGCATTTTTACCACCTCTCTATAGCGGATGCGCTCTGCCCTTTTTCAGGGTTACTGTTTTATTCCTTCTGAAACTGCCAGCATCTTTTTCTCATGACTTACCTTCAGCTGAAAACCTTGCTGTTTATTTCACTGAGAAAATAAGGGTATCAGAACAGATTTTTCTATGATCTCTTACCCACATTTGCCCAGGAGAAGAATTTAGAATAAGAACTAAGATGAAACCTAAATTATGACAACACTTATGTAGCTGATGGCAAAGGAATGAGCAAAAGAAGAGATTGTGATGGTTCCTGTCCAAACTCTACCCCCATTCTCATTGTTCCAAACATCTTTTCACTGATCTACAGGAGAAGCTGTCCCTGTTAAGTATGCCAGTAAACCTGAGGTCCTCTGCCAGAGCTGTACCAGGTAACACAATTAGGTCAAACTTGCTCTACATGAAATTCAGAAGGATTAAGGCCCTACTACTTTATTGGGGTAAGCAATCCCTTCTGAAAACTGGGTGGCCAGCCTACCACTTTGCTCCCTTCTATCCTGATCCCGCTGGTATGTAGGGTTTCCCTGTCCCTTTGAGAGCAGCACCCTGGGAAACACCAGCAAGGACCAACAACAGGTGTTAGGGCCCTGGCTGCTCTGGTCCTTGGACTGACAGCTTCTTCTCTAGGCAGTGATGCTCTCCAACGCTTTGCTGGGGGCAGTTATAACAGACAAACTCATACAGAGTTTGAAAGAGGAGAGAGAACAGCAGATTCCACTGCTAAAGTGAGGTCAAGATGTATGAACATGGAAGAGACCTATTGGTTAGACAGTTAGGTGGTCCTATGACCTTAGAAAGAAGAGTATACAAAGAAGTGTTGAGAAATAAATGGGAGATGAAGAAATCAAAACCAGGGATAGCCTAATCTTTGAAAAAGTCTTGATGATAAAGAGAAGGGAAGAAACAGACTTGATGGAATGGCACAGAAGAAGAAAGCATTTACTGCAATGTTCATAAGCCTGGTAGAGTAATCACTATTTCTTCAGCTTATTATAATTATTTCCTCTTGTCTTATGGGGGTTAGGAAAAAAAAATCACCTTACTTTGCTGATGTGCTCAGGAGCTTGGTCAGGAGTGTTGCTGAATTCCCCACCTATCTGGAGGTCACTGACACAGCAAATGGAATCCCTCAGTTCCGTGAGCTTCTGACTGCCCAATACCAGCATCGTCTGGTAGGGTTTGTGTTCTTTGTGCTAAAAGTCAGATGGTAAACAGTTCAGTGTTCACTTAGAGACAAAGCGTTTAAACTATAAATCCTGTCATGATGAGGTCAATTAATTTAGTGGTTTCCTTAATTTAAGTTATCCCCATAACATGGTGTCCTGCATTTTCTTAGATTCTGTATTTGTCTACTCAGCATCTATGAATTATAGGTCCCAACTAATCACCAAAGCTGTTTACATCTCCCCTGTGACCCAGAGCCCATTCTCTCAAACTATGTTCCTTCCTTAACTCTCATACGCCAAGCCAGTATTTCCCCTGTCCTAAATCGACCCAGAGCCAGGTACCAGACAACTAGGGCAGCTCAGACCCACTGGAATTATTCAAGCTAGTCCATCCCAGACTGTTTACTCTGCCCTGCCTTGCCCTTCCTGTGGAAACTCCAATAATGGCTGTGGCCTATGCCTTCCCCTTGCTCTTTTCTGCCTCCTGACTGATACACTGGTGCTTCCCCTGTGGCCCTGCATGGCACGGCACATCCCCTCCTCTCAGGAAGTGTAAATAATAAAAATTTTCTTTCAATGGCACTGGCCTCCAGAGCTGTCACTCAGTCAGCTCCATAAATTAAAATCCCAGGAGTACACTGAGACACTTGGTCACTACTTATGTTTGTCCAAAATTTACAAGTTGGATTCCTAAGGCTCAGTGTGATGGTGTTAGGAGGTGGGGCCTTCGAGGGCTGGCACCATGCTTTTAGACTTCCATCCTCCAGAACTGGGAGAAACAAATTTCTGTTGTTTATAAGGTACCCAGTGTGTGCTATTTTGTTACAGTAGCCAGGATGGACTAAAACACTTGGCAATAAAACTTTTTTAGTTTAAGCTAAAGTTTATAATCAAGATATTACTAAAATGACATTAGCTTGAAGAGTCTTTGGAATATAATTTCACTCTCTTTTAAAATTTCCTGGAAGTTACCTCATTAAAGTCAAGCAATCTATGCACTACCCTCATGTTATAAACCCAGAGGTTTGCTTTTATTGGTTTTGTTTTGCTTTGTTTTCTCTGATTGATAATTTGAGATCTTAATCAAACAAGGTAATTAATACTAACTATATCCCAGATGATTCACCAAAGCCCATTTATTCACAAGTGCAATTCATCTACAGTAGTATTTCACTTAAATCTCATCAAAGTTTATGATACACCTAGTTGGGGAAGCAAGAATATATACACTCTGGGTAGGACAGAGTTCTTTTTATTAGAGACTCCTAGGACATTCCTGAATACCCTTGACCTATGAACTTCTGCATTTTCATCTAAGAAGAAATGGTTTTAGTTCAATAATGTCCCATGAATTGTGAATTAGTGAACAAAGACTACTCCCCTTCTTTACCAGTTTTTCTGTAAAAAAAAACCCTCAGGAATTCATATAATCAGAATCACTGTGGATTTACATACATATTCAGTTGCTACTAGTACAGAAATCAGGTAGGTATACGTTCCAATGCTGTAACTGTAATCGTATTAGTCAAGAGATTATTTGAAATTTGACCTCATTTATACTATTCCTTCTAAAACAAAAAACCCAGTAATAGAGACAGAATGTCAGATAAGACAGCATATGCTTCCATTTATTTTGAACCCTAAGTAATGTAACTTCAAATAATTAAACTCTTTGACAAAAGTCACTTATGATCTGTGAGTCCAAAAGGTTTTACTACTGACCTTATGAAATATAACAGGGTACAAGATATTCACAGATAGGATAAGCTCTCCTTCTTCAATCATGTCTGCTGGATTTTCAGGCTTTTTTCCTATGGCATGTGACTCCTGAAGAAGGAAAACAAATTAATGAGACCTAAAATCCGACACTATGACCCAGATCAGAGGCAGTGTACAAAAAATCTTGCTCAGGTCACACTGGCTGACCAGAGATAATGAAAAAGAAACCTCAGTGACCACACGGCATACCTTGGAGGTATTTTGGGTTCAGCTCCAGATTACCGTAACAACAAATATCACAATGAAGCAAGTTACATGAATTTTTTGGTTTTCCAATGCACATAAAAGTTGCATTTACACTATACTATAGTTTACCAAGTGTAATATAAGCAGTATGCCTATACTATAATTAGAAATACTTTATTGCTAAAAAACGCTAACCATATTCTGAGCCTTCAACAAGTTGTAGTAACATCAGTGATCACCAATCACCATAACAAATACAATAAAGATGAAAAAGTTGGAAATAATCGTGAGAATTACCAAAATGTGACAGAGACACCAAGTGAGTAAATGCTGTTGGAAAAATGGTGCCAACACACTTCCTCAATGCAGGGTTGACACAAACGTTCATTTCATAAAAAACCACAGTATCTGTGAAGTGTAATAAAGTGTGTGCAATACAATAAGGTATGCTTGTACACAAGGAATACACACATTGGAAAGATAGTTTGGAAAAGTCACAGACAGCTCCAGGCCTCAACAAGTAAAAATCATACTCAGAATGTCAAGTTCTCAACAAAAACTTATAAAAACACATGAAGAAACAGGAAAACATGGCCCATTCGTAGGAAAAAAAGAATTTGACAGAAATTACCATTAAGGAAGCCCAAACACTGAAATTACTAGTCAAAGACAACAAACCATCTAAAATGCACTCAATGAGCTAAAAGAAACCACAAACAAAGAACTAAAGGAAATCAGATTCCTCAATAAGATTAAAAGTTAGTCTCTCACCAGTAACCATGGAGACAAGAAGGCAGTGGGGAGACATATTTAAAGCCATGAAGAACAAAAAATAAATAAAACTATCAACCAAGAATACTACACCTTGCAAATCTATCCATCAGAAATGAAGGAGAAACTAAGCCATTTTCAGATAAACAGAATCTGAGCAAATCCATTATCAGTACCTGCCTCTTATTAGAAATGCTAAAGAGTTCTTAAGGCTGAAATGAAAAGACACTAGACAGTAACTCGAATCTATATGAAGAAATAAGGAACACTGATAAAGGTAACAGCATAAGTAAACATAAAAGGCAGAATTACTGTACTTTTGGTTTGAAACTTCTTTTTTTCCCTATGTGATTTCAAAAGTAAATGCCTAAAATTGTATTTATAAATTATGTTAACAAACGCATAAGCTATAAAGATGTATTTTGTGACAAAAACCACACAAAGGGGAGAGACAGGTGTATAGCAGAGCATATGGATACTACTGAAAAAGCTCATATTACTAAAACTAGGTAACAACCTAGTAAGTTTATGATATTAATTGTAATCCCCAAGATAACCACTTAGAAAGTAAGCAGAACATATACAGAAGGAAAAAAGAAGGCAATCAAGAAGATATACCACAAAAATTCAGTTAAGTAACAAACAAAAAAGGCAATAATAAAAGAACTGAAGAACAAAAACTATATAACATACAAATAGCTAAACAACAGATTAAATTCTCATCAGTAATTAATTTAAATGTAAATGGACTAAACACTCCTATTACAAAGGCAGAAGATTGGCAGATTGGATAAAAAAATGTCCATCGATACACTCTCTACAACAGGCTCACCTTAGATATGAAGACACAAAGAGACTCAAGGTAAAAAGAAGGAAAAGATCTTCCATACAAATAGTAACCAAAAGAAAGCTGAGGTGGCTATATTACAGTCAGACAAAACAGATTTTAAGTCAAAAAAGGTTACAAGGGACAAAGAAGCACATTACATATTAATGAAAGGTATACTCCAGCAAGAAGATACAATAATTACAAACATATATGCAGCTAACAATAGAACCTCACAATACATGAAGCAAAAATTGACAGAACTGAAGGGAAAACAAATGGTTATACAATAATACTTGGAGACTGGAATATTCCACTTTCAATAACAAGTAGACCACCCATATTAAAAACTAATAAGGAGACAGAAGAGTTGAACAGCACTGTAAACCAATTAGACCTAGGAGACATGTATAGAATACTCCATCCAACAAGAGCAGAATATACATTCTTTTCAAGGGCACATGGACCAGTCTCCAGGACAGACCACCAAGTCTTAGTAAATTTTAAAAGACTGAAATCATAAAAGTATTTTTTCTGATCACAATGGAATGAAACTAGAAATCAGTAACAAAAGGAAAATGGAAAAAATCCATGTGGAAATTAAACAACCAATGGGTCAAAAAAGAAATCACAAGGGAAATAACAAAATACCTTAACACAAATGAAAACAAAAACACAACAAAACAAACTTACGGGATGCAGCAAAAGAAGTACAAAGAAAGAAACATATAGCTCTAGACAACTACATTAGAAAAGAACAATCTCCTATCAATAACCTAAGTGTATCCCTAAGGAACTAGAAAAAGAAAACTAAACCCAAAAATAGCAGAAGGAAGGAAAGAATCAAATCTGACTCATGGAGAAATAGAAAATTTGAATAGAAGTGTAACAAGTAATAAGATTGAATCAAATATTTAAAACCTCCTAACAAAGAAAAGCCCAGGACTAGATGGCTTCACTGGTGAATTCACTAATCCTTCTTAAAGTCTTCCAAAAAAACTGAAGAAGGAAAACTTCCTAACTCACTCTATGAAATCAGCATACTCTGATAAAGTCAGACAAAGACACTATGAAAACTACAAGCCAATATCTCTTATGAATATAAATGGAAAACTTGTCAACAAAATCCTGGCAAACCAAGTTCAGCAGCATATAAAAAGGATTACATATCACAACCAAGGGGGAATTCAACCTCAGGATGCAAGAGTAGTTCAACAAATGCAAATCATTGTAGTATACCACACTAATAGAATGATAGAAAAAAAATCATCATCTCAGTTAATGTAGGAAAAACATTTCACAAAATCCAATACCCTTTCTTGATAAAAACATTAAATAAAACAGGAATCAAAGGGAACTTCTTCAACATGATAAAGGCCATTTATGAAAAACCCACAGTTAAAATAATACTGAACGGTGAAAGAGTGATAAGGAAGTACTTTTGCCACTTCTATTCAACATAGTACTAGAAATTCTAGCAAGAAAAATTAGAGGAAAAAAAAAAGGTAAGGAAGGAAAAAAGGCAGAGCAAGTAAGCAACCAAATTGGAAAAGAGATAAAGTTACCTCTGATGATCTTCTATGTACAAAATTCTAAAGAATCCACACACATAAAAAATCACTTTAGAGCTAATAAACAAATTCAGTAAATTTGCAGCATATAAAATCAACACACAAAAATCAGCTGTATTTCTATACAGGAACAACAAACAATTTGAAAACAATATTAAGAAAACAATTCCATTTAAAACAGCATGCAAAAGGGAAAAGCTGGACAGCTGCATGTAAATCAATGCAGTTAGAACACTCCCTCACACCATACACAAAATAAACTCAAAATGGCTTAAAGACTTAAACATAAGACAGGACAACATATAACTCCTAGAAGAGAACATAGGCAAAACATTATCTGACATGAATCTCAGCAATGTTTTCCTAGGTCAGTTCCCCAAGGCAATATAGAATAAAAGCAAAAATTAACAAATGGAACCTAATTAAACTTACAAGCCTTTGCATAGCAAAGGAAACCATAAGCAAAACAAAAAGATAACCTCTCGACTGGGAGAACATATCTGCAAACGATGCAACTGACAAGGGTTTAGTTTCCAGAATATACAAACAGCTCATCCAACTCAATAACAAAAAAAACAAACAACCCAATTAAAAAGTGGACAGAAACCAAAAAAAAAAAAAGTGGACAGAAGACCTAAACAGACATTTCTCCAAAGAAGACCTACAAGTGGTAAACAAACACATGAAAATATGCTTCACATCACTAATTAATTATTAGAGAAATGCAAATCAAAACCACAATGAGGTACCACCTCATACTGATCAGAACGGCCATGATCAAAAAGTCTACCAATAATAAATGCTGGAGAGGGTGTGGAGAAAAGAGAACCCTCCTAAACTGTCAGTGGGAATATAAATTGGTGCAGCCACAATGGAAAACAGTATGGAGATAACTTACGATCCAGCAAACTCACACCTGGGCATATATCCAGAGAAAACTCTAATTTGAAAAGATACATGCACTCCAGTGTTCACAGCAGCACTATTTACAACAGCCAAGACATGGAAGCAACCTAAACGTCCATCAACAGATGAATGGATAAAGAAGCTGTTGTATATAAATACAATGGAATACTACTCAGCCATAAAAAACAATGAAATAATACCATTTGCAGCAACATGGATGGACCTAGAGATTATCACACTAAGTGAAGTAAATCAGACAAATACCTTATGATATCACTTCTATGTGGAATCTAAAATATAACACAAATGAACTTATTTACAAAACAGAAATAGACTCAACAGACACAAAACAAACTGATTGTTACCAAAGGGGAAAAGCTGGTGGCGAGGGATAAATTAGGAGTTTGGGATTAGCAGATACAAACTACTATATATAAATAACAAGGTCTTATTGTATAGCAGAGGGAACTATATTCAATATTTTGTAATAACCTAAAATGACAAAGAACATTACAATGAAAAAGAATACATATATGTGTAACTGAATCACTAGGCTGTACACCAGAAGCTAACACAACTTTGTAAATCAACTATACTTCAATAATTTTTTAAAAAGCATGGAAAGAAATAAAATACTTAGTAATAAATTTGACAAAGGAGATGAAAGACTTGTACACTCACACACACACACAAAACACAAAACGTTGTTGAATAGAATTAAAGACAACCTAAGTAAGTTGAAAGACACCTTTTGTTCATGGATTAGAAGACTTAATATTGTTAAGGTGACAATACTACCCAAAACAATATAAAGATCTGATGTAATCCCTATCAAAATCTCAATGCTTTTTTTGTTTTTACTGCAGAAATGGAAAAACTCATCCTAAAATTCGTAAGAATTTCAGGGGACCATGAATAGTGAAAACAATCTTGGAAAAAAAAAATTGGACAACTAACATTTCCAAATTTCAAAAATAACCACAAGCCACAGTAGTCCAAACAATGTGGTACCAGGCTAAGGACAGACATGCCTAAGCCAATGGAAAAGAACAGAGAGCTCATAAATAAACATATGGTCAACAAAGGTGCCAAGACCACTCAGTAGGGAAAGGATAGTCTTTAGTGTTAAGAAAACTGAATATCCACATGCAAAAGAATGATGTTGAACCTTTACCTTTTACCAAATGTAAAAATTAACTCAAAATGGATCAACAACTTAAACTAAGAGCTAAAACTATAAAACTCTTACAAGAAAACAAGATAAAACAACATCTTCATGACACTGGATCTGGTGATCGTTGCTTAAGTATAGCCTCAAAAGCACAGATAACAAAAGAAAAAAACAGATGAATCAAATTTTATCAAATTAAAAATCTTCTGTACATCAAAGGACACTGTTAAGAGAGTGAAAAGACAATCCATAGGACTGAAGAAAATATTTTAAAATTATACACATGGTAAGGGTCTAGTATCCAGAACACACCAAGAACTCTTACAAATTAAAAACAAAGAGACAAACAAGCCAATTTAAATACTGGCAAAGGATGCAAAGGACTTGAATAGACATTCCTCCAAAGAAGATACACAATGGCCAAAAAGCACATCAGAAGATGCCCAGCATCAATAATCATTAAAGAAATGCAAATCAAAATCATAATACCACTTTACACCCCCTAGGATGACTATTATTAAAGCCCAGAAAATATTAAGTGTTGTGAAGAATGTGGAGAAATTGGAGCCTTCCTGCATGGCTGGTGGGAATATAAAATAATACAGCCCCTGTGGAAAACAGTTTGGTGGTTTCTCAAAATGTTAAACCTAGAATAACTAAATGACCAAGCAATTCCACTCCTTGGTATAAACTGAAAAGTTCAAAATGGACTCAAACAGATCCTTGCACACTGATATTCATAAGAGCATTAGTTACAATAGCCAAAAGGCAGAAATAACCCAAACGGCCAATGACAGATGAAAACAAAATGTGCTATATCCATACAATGGAATATTATTCAGCCATGAAAAGGGATGAAATGTTAACACATGCTACAGCATGGATGAACCATTAAAACACTACAGTAAGTAAAACAGGCTGGACCAAAAGGACAAATATTGCATGATTCCACTTATTCACAGAGACGGAAAGTAGAACAGAGGTTACCAGGAGCTGGAGGAAGGGAGAACGGGGAGTTAGTGTTTAATGGGTATAGAGTTTCTGTTTGGGATGATGAAAATGTTCGGAGACTATGTACTGATGAACGCATCGTGTCTACTAACACTTAATTCCTCGTTATTCATCATCTTGAATTTTTCTGAAGGTTTTACCTAAAAGATGATGCACTAGGAGAGGATACAGTTAAACCAAAGTCAGGAACAGAATAAAAATACCAGAAATAGGGTAGTGAAAGGCATGAAATTAACCTTAAACAGAGAGCAAGACCAAAGCAAAATAAAAATAGAGGCAGAGATCTGAGAGTAAAATGTGACATCACTTGAATTTTATGGGTCCTTTTCTACTGTTCCCATTGCCGGTCAAGTTTCTCCAATTCATTTCCAATTAAGCATATCCAACATAAAGCCACCACATTGCCATCACTGACACCACTAACATCCAAAGACAGCCTGTTTCAGGGGAAAAGGTGAAGAAGAAAAAACTTTTACCATCTCATAAGCAAATGTCTCTTGTCTGCAGACCCGATCTATCGTTATGGTTTCTTCCCGATGTTCCAGAAGTCTCTTTCTAACCCTGTTATAAAAAAAATCAAACTTCAACATTCTTTACTGGGGCTTCAAAAATATCTTTAATATTTAATTTTCATTCTGAACTAATTTTAGACTTAAAGAAAGGCTGCAAAAACAGTATAAAGAGTTCCCTTATATCTCTTACCTGGCTTTCCCTATGTTAATATCTTACATGATCATAGGATAATCATCAAGACTAGGAAATTAACATTAATACAGTATTAATAACTATACATCTTTTTTGAGTTACCCAAATTATAAAATTTAGTGCTTTATTTTTCTGTCCCAGGATCCTATGCAGATACCACATTATATTTATTTCTCCTCTCCCCGGTAGTCTTATAGTTCCTCGGTCTGTCTTTTATGATCTTGACGCTTTCAAAGAGCCCTAATCAGTTATTTCATAGAATGTCCCTCAATTTGGATTTAATTGCTGTTTCCTTATAATTGGAGTAAGTATATAGTTTTTGGCAAGAATACCATAAGAATGATGGTATCCTCACTGTCTTACCGTGAGGTTCATAATGTTAATATGTGTTATTCCTGGAGATGTTTACCTTGGTTAAGTTCCTGTCTGCCAGGTTCCTATGCTAGAAAGACACTTTCTTTTCCTTGGTATCTGATGTGTTTGGTGGGGAGATACTTTGAAACTATGCAAATCTTGTTTCTCCTCAAACCTTTATCCAGGAATTTTTGCATTCATCAGGAGATTTTGTCTGCAACATTATACTGTGCTATATGCTTTATGGTGATTCTCTTTTCCCCTCCTTTTACATTTACTCATTGGTACTATGAGGAAGACTTGCCTCTTTCCTCCTATTTATTTCTTCAGTCATTTATATTATTAGTAAGAATTGATAGATACTTACTTTATTCAATAAGTTAAAAGCTAACACTATTGTTATTTTGTTGCTCAAATTGTTCTAGTTTTGGCCATTAGGAGATCCTCCAGATTGGCTCCTGTTCTTTCAACAAGCTGACACTTTTTTTTTTTTTTTTTTGAGGATTTCCTTACTTTCTGGCACCGTAAGATGCTCAGGGCTCATCCTGTATTTTTGTGTCTCAGCCCTGGAATCAACCACTTCTCCTAGGAGCCTTAATTCCTTCATTGTAGAGAGGTTTAGAGACCTATCTCTGAGCATGAAGCATTCACACTGTTACTGCAATCACTGCTTCTAGGACTTTCAGCAGAGAGAGGTAGGAAACATACATATATACACACACACTAACCCACATATGTACACATAGCTGTCTTTCTATTGGTCCATCCTTCCTCATCCTTTAGTATAACTGCACAATACTCCACTGTGTGGATCTCCTACAGTTTCTTCGACACTCTCCTATATATGTATATTTAGGGTATTTCAAATATTTTCTATTACAAACAATGCTGCAACGAATAACCCTGAACATATTTTCATACTGTTGGAGGTGCATCTTCAATAGATTGTAAGAAGTGGGACTGCTGAGTCAAAAAGTGCCTATGTAATTGTGGGTGACGTATTACCAAATCTCCCTAGAGGAGGATTGTATCAATTTACATTTCCATCAGGAATGTATGAAAAGGCCCATTTCCCCTCAGCCTCATCAAAAGAATGTGTATTTTAAAATTTGTGCTAGTCTGATAAGAAAGTGAAGGTATTTGTCATTTTAATTTGCATTTTTCTAATTATGAAGATGCACATTTTTATGTTTTTGAGTTATTTTATATCCTTTTTGTGTATGAATTATTGGTTCACATCTTTTCTCCATTCTCCCTTTGTGTTTTTGCACCTCAGCTTTTAACTCTTATATATTAGGGTTATTGGCTCTTTGTGGTATATATTTTCTCCAAGTCTAGCAGCTGTCTTTTGACTTCATTTATGGTGTTTTTGTCGTGCAAATTTTTTCATTTTTTATGCAGTTAATTTTATCAACTTTTTCCCTTTTATTGCTTCTAGATTTAAATCATAGTTAGAAAGCCTTTCATTACACCAAGATTTGTATGTTTCATTCTCTACATTTTGATCCCAATCCCTTGGAAGTTTATTCTTGTGCATAGTGTCATACTAAATTTCCATACACATTTGAATCTAACTGGACTTTCTCTTCTATTCCATTAGTCTATTTGTCCATTCATGGGCTAGGACCTACTGTTTTAATTATAAAGACTTTGTAGTATATTTTAATATGTGGTAAAATTACTAGGCACTCACAATCCCCCCCGCCGGTTTTCCCTAGTTATTCTTGCATATATTCCATATGAATTTTATTATCAACTAACTCCATAAAATAACCAATACTTTTGGTATTGCACTTAATTTATAAATTAACTTAGAAAGAACTGACAACATTATAATGCTTAGTATTCCTATTCAAGAACAGAGGATATCTTTCAATTTTTTCAAGACTTTTTCTGAGTCTGTCAGGAGTGTTTAAAATTTTTCCTTACTTCAGCTTTACACATTTTTTGTTAAATTTATTCCTGAGTATTTAACCTTTTTGACTACTGTAAATGGGATTTTCTCTACCATTATGTTCTCTAGTTGTTTGTTTAATCATTTTACTAGATACGTCTCAGAGTTGGTAATACTGGGGTTAATTTTCCTAGGTAACCAGTGAGCTCTTTTAATTTGTAGATTTGGAATTTTTTCCAATTCTGGAAATATTTCTTAAGTTATATTCTTAAATATTCTATTTATATGCTACTGTATTAAAAACAACATTGGTCAAGCTTCTGAGATGACGGATAAGTTTCAGTAGCACACATGCAGTAACAAGTCTCTCTTTTATTCTGAGGAATTAAAATTTTCTCTTAAGTAGTCTAAAAAAATCTCAAAAGTGCTCAAGGTAAGTTATTTAGTTTGCTATGGATTAAGGAGACCAGCATCAAAGGAGAGTCAATCTCTTAACAAGTGCCTTTTTCCCCACTAACACACATAAAATGAGTCCAACAGCTCCACTGGGGAAAAGAAAAACTGTAAAATGTTGTTATTTTATGTCATAATGGAAGAGTGATGTACTTAGAATTTGTTTTTACCTTTATATTTTTAAGTTATTGGTGGGGAGAACAAAGGAAGGTTTAGGGAAAAAGAAAGCCATAGAGATACAGATTTCTGGCTTTTGGCACAAGTCTAATTTACTTGTGGTACTGCTAAGATTAATGTGAGTCCTATTTTAAATATGAAAGTTTCACAATACATCAAAATAATCCCATCCAAGGAAATCTGTACTAGCCCCTTTTATATTAGAATATACACATAATTCTCTTACTCATATCTCCCATGGAAGGGACTAGAAGACAACCAAGGAGATCCAGTTGATCAAGAAACAGAAAACAGCCAGGGGAAGTACCACGTAAAGCAGTCTGAAACTTATTATTTCACACAGTTTAATAAAACCACTATAAGCCAATTAGCATGTAATTAACTATAGCAAAAAAAAGTCTGCTTTGTTTATAATTATTATCAACTTTCTTTTTCCAGCCAAGCTCTAAAAAATCATTTCCTTAGGTTTATGCAAGTTTAATTTATCCCACTCATTCTACAAATATCTACTGACTCTATTATGTACCAAAAATCTACAAATGGGGGAGATAGCAATGTGTTTATGACAGACATAGCTTATGGAACTTTTAAGTTCTAGCTAGAAGACAAAATTAAATAAGTACATTATAAGTGTGATGAGTATTTCAACAGGGAAGTATGGCAGCGGCGGCGGGGGGGGCTATATTTGCTTAAAGGGGGAGCTAGATGGAGTTCTTACTCCTTCAGCTAAGACTTGAAAGATAAACTGAAGTCCGCAAGACCAGGGTGATAAGGAGAGTAAGTGTTCTAGGCCAAGGCCTGGAGTGAGAGAGCACATTCTAGGAAGTCAAAAAGTGTATTGTGGCTGGAGCACTGCAGAGATACAGAGCTGAAAAGATCAGCAAGATCCATTCTATAGAGGCCTTTGTGATCCACTTAAGAACTCAGGACTTTTGCCTAGAAGCCACTGAAAGGTTTTAACAGAGAGACACAGTCAGAGATGCATTTTAAGGAAAATAAATAAATAAATAAATAAATAAATAAATCCAATTGATCAATCAACAGTAGTTAAAGAGCACCAAATGGAGCAAAGCAGTGCAACAGGCTTAAGGGCAACACACAGATGAAGGAGTCTGGATTCCCAACGAGCCTTCAAGAACTTTAGAAATGTTAGAGGAGCTGTAGACATTACCAGTGCATACAATCCCTAAGGGAGACAGGTGGGTTGTAGAGAAGTGAAAAGCAATCTTAGGGTCTCAAAGATGGGGTAGGTTTCAGCTGGGAGAAGGGCCATGGGCATTCTCAGCCACTGAAAGAGAAAATGATTGAAAATAAGTCAGGAAAGGCAGATTGGGGCTATGTGGAAGGCTTCAAATATCTAAGTAAGGAATCTGAAATTTGCCTAAAGAGGAGAGGTTGACCATTGACAATTTCTCAGCAAACAAGCACGCTTACATGATAGCATGATGGATAAATCAGGAGCAAAAACAGGACCTAGGAAAGACGGGAAACTTTTGTAGTGCTCCAAGTGTTGTAAATGTAAACATCACCGGGATAAGAGAAACAGATTTGGCAATTATTACAAAAGACATCAAGGTAGAGCCAAAATACTTGCCTACATTTTTGAGGGGGAACAATAGAAAAAGTAGAATAAAGGATGACAGCTGAGATGATGCGAAGTAAGCGGGCTACAAATTGGAAATGATAAATTTCACAACTGCACACACAGTTTCTCTATAATAGTATTATCATAGAGCAGTGTTTCTCAAAATGTGGTTGGCAGACTGGAACTGATTTGTGAGCTAACTGTTATCCAATCAGTAGAGACATGGAAAGGAAGCATTTAGAAATGTTCACAGCAACACGACAGTACTTTTACTGTTGAATTTAATCATAAAAAATTTGGAGTTTTATTGTTTGTCTTTCAATTCCATTTTTCTAGTATTTCATTTTTATTCTACTTTACAAAAGTATGGATCTGTCAAAAAATTTAAAATAGCAGTCCTTTATCACACTATCAGAGCATCTAGCTTGAAATAGTTTGAGAAGTACTATCAAGAGTATTTAGCTTGCATTCAAAAATCTAACTGGATTAACTGTACCTTTATAAACACTTAAACACAAATTTGAAAAGGGGCTGGATATTAGAGTTAATGCATTTACTGTTAATTTTCTTAGGTATAATAAATAATACCACTCGGATTAAGCAGGAGAATGATACTTTTAGGAGCTATATGCTGATATACTTAGGGACAAATTATCATGATGTCTGTAATTTACTGAATGGTTCAGCAATAGAAAAAGATACATAGCAGGTATCTCAAATACATACAGCTGAAGCAAATACGGCCAAATGTTAACAATGGTTGAGTTTAGGGGCTGAGGTGATAACAATACTATACTATCAACTTTTGAATATAATGTTGAAAAAAATTTAAATAACTAGCATGTAATAAAAGCAAAGTCCTCCATACCCCAAAGTCACTAGGTCTGCATCCTCTGGGATGACTTCCGGATCCTCCCCTTCCTCGAGGCACTTCAGTTTATCAAGGCTAAAACAAAACAAAAAAAGCAATCACGCATCTAGGACTTAGCGAGTTGGGTTGTGTCCTAAACACATCACAGAATAATTAAGAAATCAGATAAAACCCAGCAGGCGGCTCTGAGGGGAGGAGAATTAAAGGTGAATTCTGTGCCGACAGTCTACAAAGAAAAGGATATATGGCTGGTTAAAGGCGGCCAATATGATTAAATGCGGAAAGAGATCGTTATTTTTATATTTTCAACCCAAATAAGGCACTATGGGGAAAATCTCAGTAATAGCATACCAAGAGGTGCCCAAAAGAGACCAGAATTAATCAAGGTTTTAACACTCTTCCGGTTAAATCTTCCAGCCTCATCATTCTAAGGTTCCTCCATCATCAAAGTGTCTGTCAATGGCAGATACACGTCGCTGTTACGGATTGCTTCTATACATTAACAATTACTTTAAAAACTACTGAATAGAAAATTTAATCTTTTATGCATCTCTCTGGTCCTTTCACTCCAACTAGCAGAAATTTTGCATTCGGATCACGGGACTTCTACCGTTGTTCCGGGAAAGCTCCAGCAGGTTGAAAGCTTTAAAGGGCGGTCCTTCTACCCCGGGGAGTAAACCACAGGCCCGCCCAAGGGTAGGTTCCAGAGGAACGCAGGAGCAAGGCTGCACCCCGGTTGACCCCAAGCCGCAAGAGCCCCTGGGCCCCGCACTCACCCGCACACCGCCCTCAGCTCGGCTGCCGCCCCCAGACTACAGCCCAGATCCCGGGCCACGGCTGCATCCTCCAGGCCGGAGTCGGCGACCTCTTGGTCCCCAGGCAGCGCCGGTGCCTGCGGCTCCTTCAGCGACAAGTCCCCTTCCCCGCGCAGCCGGCCACGCCACAGCTCCCCGAAGGCGCCCACGTGGAAAGCGCGCGTGTTTAGCTCAGGAAGCTCATACTCTGGAAAATTGCAGCCGCCACTGTTGGGGATCGGGTCCTGCCTGCCACCCATCCTGCCGCACGTTGGGCCGCCTGGGAAGCTTTCAGCCATGTTCGCCCCACTCCCTTCCCTGCGAAAGCCGGCCGATCAAGGCCTCGCGGAGCATGCTGGGACTTGTAGTTGCAAGTGGCCTAGGACGGCGAGCAGCGGGGCTGCGCAGGCCCAGCTTCAGACACTACATTTCCCGGCAGACCCCAAGTTGGGTCCGCCCCCGGGCGCGGCACCGCGAGTCCCCGGGTACTAGGCTGAGCGCATTGTTCTGTTCTCGCAGCGCTCCGGTTAGCGGTTGTCTCTCTCGGTTCACCGCAGCCTGACTGGCTGGGTTCTCAGCCCCTACGGTTACGCGTCCTCGCTCTCTGCCGGGTAGGGCGTCCTTGGCACAAACCTTTGGTCTGGCTCATATATTTCCCCGCCCCCCGGGGTGCAGGGCTTTTCCTTGACTCCAGGGTTCGTGGGCTGTGCTGCTGCCTCACTGCCCCAGAGCCTGAGAGTCTTGGAGGTCGAGGGCTGAGACTCGGGACGCGACCGGCTCTCCAGATGCGGTTCCTTCAGAACCTCCCCAACAGAGTTCGTGTTCGTGTGTGTATAAGTAGACAATGTTCCCGCGCGCAATAATGTTTATTGAGCGCCTACTATCAGATGCTGTACATTATTATCTGTAATGTATATTTAAAAAAATCACAACCACTTTTCCGGGCAGGGATTATCATCTCTGTTACGCTGTTGAGGAAGGAATTAAGTGCTAGGAAATAGAAGCAAGGTCGGAACTTAATCTTTCTAGCTTCAAATGGAGCTTTCTCCATTTTTCAAAAGTCCCAGAGGACATAAGTAGCGGAGCATATAGAAGGAGCTTTGGTTATTTATTTATTGGTCTGTAACTGACGTATCATATTCTTGACCCATTTTAAATGTTCTCTCAATGGTTCTTAGCATTATTTACAGAGTTGTGCAACCATCACCACAGTCAATTTGAAAATATCTTCATCACTCCTAAAAGAAACCGTGTACTTTTTAGCTGTCACCCCCAATCCCGCTATCTCCTCCAGCTCTTAGGCACTAGTATAAATGACATCATCTATGTAGTCTTTGTGACTAACTTCTTTCACTTAATGTTTTCAAGGTTTATCCATGTCATGACATGTATCAGTACTTCACTTATTTGTAGCTGAGTAATATCACCTTGTATGGATGTGATACATTTTATTTATCCATTTTTTAAAGATTGTTTCTACCTTTCAGCTATTACGAATAGACTTGTATGTACAAGTTTTTGTGCGGACATATACTTGCTTCTCTTGAAGATATATGTATATCTTGAAGATACAGATATATATATATATGTATGTGTGTGTGTATATATATATATATATAATTGCTAGGTCTCATGGTAACTATGTTTAAACCATTTGAAGAACTGCCAGACTGTTTTTCACAGCAGCTGGCCCATTTTACAGTCCCACTAGCGTTGTATGAGGATTCCCATTTCGCGACATCCTTATCAACACTTGTTATTATCTGACTTTTTTTATTATAGCCATCCTATTGGGTATGAAGTGGTATATTGTGGTTTTGATTTGAATTTCTCTGATGATTAATGATGTTGAGCATCTTTTCATGTGCTTTTTGACCACCTGTAGATCTTCTTTTTTAAATTATAGTTGATTTGCAATGTGTTAGTTTCTGGTGTACAGCAAAGATTCTTTTCCATTATAGTATTTTTTAATTGAAGTATAATTTTACAATGCTGTGTTAATTCCATTATAGTTTATTACAAGATATTGGATATTGCTCCCTGTGCTATACCATCTGTATTGGTGAAGATGGAGAAATGTTTATTTGAGTCCTTTACCCATTTTAAATTAGGTTATGTATATTTTTATAGGAGTCTATGAATTTATTAATACATTGTTGTGGAAGATATCTGTTGTTTTTGTCTGCCTAACATTCTGTTTCTTAGAATTGACCTTCCCTACTTCTGTTGGTCCCCCTGGGGCTGCCAGTCATACAAACTTTCCCACTCTGCCACAGTGATTGGCTCAAGGAGAGCAAATGACACAACTAGAGCCAATCAGAATCCTCCTCTGAGATTTTATTTATAAACTGAGAAACTATCCATCCATTTTGAGGACCCAGGGATGTGCCTAGACATAGTTTGTGTCAGCCAGTGGAAGGGTTAGAAGGAAAAAAAGCCAAGCGTTTAAATAAGCAAAGGCAGAAAGTAGAGAAAGAGAAAAGTCATATGACTTGGAATAGTGTGGCTGAGGCCATCTTCTCCCCTGGATTTGCCATTATGTAAGCCAGTAATTTTTTTAATCTGTAGTAAATCTGAGTTGAATTCTCACAACCTAAGGACTAATAGTCTTCCCAGGGCCTGTAAACCTTGGTCCAAATCTCTCAATAGGGGGAGCTCTCACTCCAGAGAGTGAGGTCACATTTCAGGTGGAAGAACTCTCACATATATGGCAATTTATTAACACTGGCTTCAGGAATGGAGACCGCAATGGTTCTTGAGCAGCAGTGGGAAGTGGACCAGAATGAGCACAGCACGCGAAGGTGGTTCACTGTGAGGTGTGGATTGCGGGGTCGGTGGGCAAAGAAAGATCAGTGGTGAGCACCAGAAGTACTCTCTTGAGTCTCATCAACAGCAGCCCCTCCCTGGAACAAGGCAGAAGGGCTCCAGAATAGCCACTGCAGCATAAAAATTAATTTGAACTTAAGGCATTTGAGAATAGGCTTTTTCCCCCTGAACTCCATTAATCTACCTAAATGCAGAACCTCCCTACAGAACTCAGTTGTCGTAAATCCCCTCCTGCAACCAGAGAAAATTGACTAGAAGTGGGCACCACACCCATGCGGACATTGTCACAAAGCTGTATCTCCCATCTGCTTTTGTAAGGATTAATTTATCTTTCCTGAAGGTCATTTGTTTTCCCATAAGTGCCATTTCTCCCCTTCCCCTATTAAGAAGTCATTTGTTTTCCTGTAAGTCTCCCCTGCCCCCTATCCTACTAAGATGGTATATAAGCCCAAATTCTAACTGCCCTCCTTAGTTAGATTTTTGTGAAGTCCCCCAAACATCATACGTTCATAAATTAAAATCTATCTTTTTTCTTGGTAACCTGTCTTTTGTCAGTTTAATTCACAGGCCCCCAATGACAATATAAGAGTGTAGAGGAAGTTTTTCCTCCCCAACAAGGCTATGGCAAAGTCAGCTTCTGGACCTGGGGCAAATTTGGCAGAAAATGTGAGTTCTAGGGCCAGACAACCACAGAAAGGAGGGAGAAAGAGCCTAAGATCCCAGGATAGATACAGTCCTTGTAATTCTGGGTGAGCTTTGTACGATTCCTCAGGGAGGACAAAAGTTTTCCCAGTTGTGGATATTGGAAGCAACCACTAGGCTGAGGTGGTGGCATTAGTTTACAGTCAGGATTCTGAGTAGTGATCAGGTGTTATCTAGGTCTTGGCTAGGAAGTAGGAATAGGGAGATGTGAGCTCTCAAAGTTGGCCTCTGAGCATTAGCTTCCTCACCTGAGATGTTTACGTGGGCCCAGCAGGTGATGAAAACTGGCTTGCTGGTGGGAACTGTGGCAAACTGGGGAGTACCAGCCTCTGTCTACAAAGCTACCATGACTGCCAGGGAGAAATGTGGCACTTGTCTGCCAGAGCCTCCAACATTTCTGAAGAAGTCAGATATTTAGCTCTTTTTTAAAAACAACAACAACAACGTGAAATCTGATCTTCAAATGTGGGCAGTTAATTTTGTTAAATTAATTAAACAAGGAGGACATTAGATTGAAGTGGCTCTAATGCCGCGGCAGCCTACCGAAGCAAACTGAAGTCTAAGTCTGTAAAGGCCTCAAGGTTATGAAATCAAAAGGCTAAAGACAACCAATCACAAACAGCCAACTAGGCTTTAAGCCACAACCAATCAATAATTGCTTCTGCCTCTCCCCAGCTCTAGTCAGTGGAGCTCTCCTAACCACTTCTGTCTCTGCCTGATTGATTTTTCTCAAATAGACTCTTAAAAATGTTAATATATCCTAGTTTATCTTTTAACAGTTCATGTAAAATTTAAAGACAGTATTCAAATACACATAGGCATCTGGCCTATGGCCCACTTGTTTGTGATCTCATCTATTGTATCTGAAATCCAACTGGCTCACAATTTATGAAATTCCACATGTGAACTTCCTTCAGCTTGTTTTCCAAAGTACTTCTACCTCTGCCCCAAGACCTCCTTTCTCACAGTTAGACGTAGGCACCTGGGAGTCTCCCCTGGGATTGAAACTGTGCGTTTCCCACCATTTCAGTGTTGACTGCCCAAGCTGTGTTTCCATCCAGTTCTTGCTGATGTCTAAATCTTTCCTACAGATAAGTCATTTATTTTATTCTTCTCTGGCTTCGGTTTTTTTTTCCCTCCAAGTGTACACTTTGTCTAGATTTTTAAAAATAATTTTTGAATAAGCACATCATTTAAAAGGTAGAAATATCAACTATATTATTATCAACTATATTCCAGTATAGTCGATAATAATGTAATATGTTTGTATGGGTACAGATGGTAACTATGGTGATCATCTTGTAATGCACAGAAATATTGAATCACTATATTATGCACCAGGAACTAACATAGTGTTGTAAGTCAGTTATACTTCAAAAAACAAACTCGTAGAAAAGGAGATAAGTTTTGTGGTTACCAGGGCCAGGGTGTGGGGGATGGGGAATTGGATGAAGACGATCAGAAGGTACAAACTTAACAGTAATAAGATAAATGAGTACTAAGGATGTGATGTGCAACGTGATTACATGATTAATATAATTGTGCTGCTGTATATTATATATGAAATTTGATAAGAGTAAATCCTAAGTGTTTTCATCATAAGGAAAAAATACACCCTTTTATTTTGTATGTGTGTGAAATGATGGATGTTCATTACATTTATTGTGGTAATAAGTTCATGATGTATGTAAGTCAAATCATTATGCTTTACCCTTTAAACTTATACAGTGCTGTATGCCAATTATATCTCAATAAACCTGGAAGAAAAAATTGGATATAAATATCATGCAGTGAAAGTGACCCTTTCTTTTGTCCCCCCACCCATGTAGAGCCCCTTCCTAGATTTCTGGAGGCAACCGTAACCTCCAGTTAGCAGTTGCTTGTGTATCTTTCCAGAGAAATCATATGTACATGTATGTAAGTACACACATGCACACATATCTATGTATACACAAATGTATTTTGCACATTATACATGCTGTTTATACTCTATACCTCATGTTTTCTATGTAAACTTGTATCTTGGACCTCCTTTCATATTAATATGAAGCACCCTAATTCTCCTACAGTATGTATGTCCAGTCCCCTTAGCCCTCTTTTGAAATGCATTGGGGTTATTTGTAGTCTTTTGCTTGTACAATTAATGCAGCAATGAGTAATCTTACAGGAAGTCATTTTGCTGATGAATATCTGTCATCTGGCCTCAATTAAGAATTCTATTTAAAAATTATTCTTTTGTACGCTCTTAGATTACTCCCCTGGGAGATGCTAGCTGTATGTCATGAGGACGCTCAGACGTTACTGTGGAGAGGCTGATGTGGTGAGGAACTGAGAAGAGGCCTCTTGCCAGCCATCAGCACTAACCTGTCAGGTACGCGGGGGAGCCAACTTGGAAGCAGCCCCTCCAGCCCCAGTCAAGCCTAAGGTAACTGCAGTCCTGCCAACACCTGACTACAGCCTTCGGAGAGGCTCTGAGCTGCAACCACCGAGCTCATGTGTTCCCGGATTCCTGAGCCACAGAAACTGTGAGATAGGAAATATTTAAGCTGCCACATTTTAGGAATTTGTTATACAGCAATGGTAACTAGTACAGGAAGTGATGTGACAGAGCCACGCCTTACAGGGGGCCTGGCCAGAGAGACAAGAAGCAGGAAAAAAAATTAGGAAAACATTTGCCTGAGTCCAGCCAAGAGGCAATGGAAGTTCTATGATTAGAGAAAAAGATTGATGAGAGAAACATAGAGGAAAAAGGAATATGAGAGACACAAGGAAGGAGGGTAGTCCAAAGATTTCAAGCCTAGATAGCTAGGAAGATGGTGAGAATATTTCCGACATAGGGAACAGTGGAAGGAGAAGCAAATGGATGGGAGAGAAATGGTTAACATTCAGAGTAATTGTATAAGGTAGATATTTTTATTTTCCCCAGTTAAGAATTTGAGGCTGAGGAAGTTTCAGTGGTGGATTTGATGTCGTAGAGTTAGGATGCAAATCCAGGTCTATATGCAGAGCGCTTTACTGTTGAACATGGGAAATTTGAAGGCTGGTGAAGATGTTGTTTGGGAGAAAAAAACTGAACATCAGTGAGAGTGAACAGGGTAAGGGACATAGATTTGTAGAGTTATTTGGGAAGATGGTAGATAAAGCCATAATAAAACATGAGATTGTCAAGAGAGAGGGAAAGGAGGGTACAGAAGTGGGAGAAAAGAGAGCCACGGGAGTCGCAGCACCCAGAGGAGACCCTCAGTGGACCAAAGCCCTGGTGCTTAAGCCAGCACAACATGCAGGGATACATCTTAAAAAGAGAAGGGTTTGCTGGGGTAGGGATGAGAATCATGTATGATGATAATGTTACTGATCCGCTCACCTGACTCAAAGCAAAGCCGATCTGCTGACACTGGGCTGTGCTGAAGGAAGGACAGAGTTTATTGCAGAGCGCCAAGCAAGGGAGCAGGAGGCAAGCCTTAGATCCACCCCAGCTTGATCATTAAATTAGGGGCTTTTTCAAAGGGGAAGAACAAAGAGGCTGGAATGAATTAATGTCTTATAACATTTCTTAACCATAGTTTTGGGAGTCGGATGTCTTTGGTTTACAATTCTCTGGCCAGGTGGTCCATGGCTCAGGATGTTAGCTCATCCAGCTCTGGGGAAACAACCTGAGTTCATACGTTAAGGATGATATTCTGTAATAGCAGTCTTAGTATATTAACGACGTCATCGTCATCGTCATCGTCATCGACAACAGCAGTTCCAGTTATCCGACTCTGGTTGATGGTTGCTCAGTTAGCAAAGGATTGAAGTCACTGGGGACAAGAAACGGAATAAAGGTTTGGATAGAGAGATTAATCATAAACTCAGTGAGGGAACCGGGTTTTAGGGGCGCTCAGCTTCAACAATAAAGTGCATGAAGAGTCATCTACTTGAACAGCACTATTTCCAAAAATGACTGATTCTAAGAGCACTAAATGCTATTGCACCCTTTGGAATCACTTTTCAGTGATGAGCTTGGTATTCAGGTATTGCTTTCCTGAAGCCAGGGGACCACGTGGGAGTTTCCCTTTGCCAAAGAAAGGAGCTACAGAAGGATGGAAAGGGAATGGTGTGATGGGAAAGGCAGCTGAAATCCCCTTGGTCATAAAGGCGGTTGGTAGAAAAATAATAACAACTCTTTAGTGAGAAGTAAGATTCATAACCATTCAAAGGCCTGACGTTAATTATAAGGAATTTTAACATCGGAGGTAGAAAGCCTGAACTGAGTGTCATCTTCCATTCTAAGCAATGATCCTTTTCAAGATTGAATAACTGTTAATAGATATGTATTTGCATAATGACTTTTTAAAAAATTCTCAAAATTGTCTCCAACTAATTGCTTTAGGGTACCTATGTTTTTTTTTTTTTGTTCTCCCACCACCTCCATCTCAATTCCACTGATAAATACAAATTAGGCAATTAGCTTTTTCCAAGAACAGTGCTGAATTTATTGTAAGAGATTTTAAAATTTTGAATTAGCAAAGAGAGTGAGAAATTCTGCTGGTAGAAAACACAGGATCAGAGAAAAAAATCAGAAAATATTCTGGTCCCTTTTGATTATAAGGACTGTGGATGTGGAGAGATTCGGGAGAAGCTGTCGTTTTTTGGAGGGAGGCTTGCACCAGAACATTGTTTGACTCCCACGATGTGAGTGTGGCATCATCCAAAGATGAGGCAACCAACTTTCTTTGCTTAAGTTCACCTACCACCTCTATAAGACACATTCACTGATGTAAGCGGAAAAGATCCTGGAAATGGTATAAAATGACTGAAGGTTAGAAGCTGTGGGATCAGGCAATGAAATAACTCTCTGATACTAGATTTTCCCCTCATCTCGGAAGAAAAGCATCTTTCCACTGTCAAGTTACCTTTTTCCTTCTTTCCGTACCCTAGAAGCAAGTCACGAAGCTCATACTCATGGCTGGGAGGTGGGGGGAGGGGCAGGGGAAGAGTGGGGGTTAAGTTTCATCTCCTGGAGTAGGGAGCAGTTACATAAATTGCTTGAAATCCTGTAGGGGAGAGTTGTCTCTTCTCCATTTATTTAAATAGTTAATCTTTTATTTATATCAGTATAGACTCATGGATATTTATTTTATGCTTTGGGTAATCATCCATTACTACTGTATTAACCACGTGCTTCGGATGCTTTGACGTCTGGGTTCTTGCTGAGCCTGGAGGGGTTGCCCCTCCCAGGGATAGCCAATTCCTAGAGACAGTGTTCTCCTTCGAGTGTGCCTTCCAAATGTAAACCACCTCATCCAGAGCCCGCATCCCCACAGCCTCTGTTGGGTTCTCAAGCTCAGGGCTACTGTTCCTTTGCCCTAATTAACCAGGTCCAGGTACCCTTGCTCCCTCTGCCCCCTGATCAACCCTGGACCTTCCTTGTGTGCCCCTCTGCAGTGTGGTGTGCCCCTCTTCTTAGGAACTGTGAGTAACAAACCATCTTTAAACAGGCAGTCACCTCTTGATCTGCTAGCCTTCACCATAAATGAATAATAATAAAATCTACATTTTAAAACTCCATATTTATTTTATTGTTCAAATTGTTCCAACTTTGGTTACTGGGAGCTCTTTCAGATTGGTTCCTGTGTCCCTTTCTCATCCTCCCTGTCCTCTTGTTTTCTGAGCACGTCCTTACTTTCTGGTGCAACAAGATGTTTCTGACCTATATATCTCCTGCCCGATGCTTTGAATCAGCCATTTCTCCAAGAAAGCCTTGTTCCTTTTATTAGAGAAAGGTATTGCCACTGATTTTTGTAAATAAAGCTTTATTGGAACACAGTCATGTTTATTCAATTTCATATGGTCTATGGCTGTTCTTGCAGTACCACAGCAGAGCTGAGTGGTTGCAAGAGACCCGACAGCCTGAAAAGCCTGAAATGTCTATTATCTGGCCTTTACCAATGTTATCTAGACTTACTGTGTGATCATTTCACAATACATACAAGTATTTAATCATTATGTCATACATCTGACACTAAGACAAAGTTTTATGTCAATTATAGCTCAATAAAAAAATAAAGAATATGTAATTATCATAAAAAAAAAGAAGTTTCCTGACCTCTTCTTAGATAAAGGTGATTGTTGTGCTTATCTCTAGGAATATAGAGAGGTCTTATGGAAGTCCGAAACGTGAACTAAAGTGTCCGTGGGATCTGATAGTAGGAGTAAACACTACATTTTCTTCCATGGCTTTTTGGTTTTTATTGTGCACTTCCCCTCCATGCCTTTCCTCTCTACCAGGTGGTTCTCACTGCCCCTTATGTAGACTGCTAAATTGTCGGGGGAAACTCCCCTTCCTGCTAGATGGGAAGGCAGGAGATTTATGATAGGGAAGAATTTATAAGAGTTGGTACTCCCACCCCCAGGATGGTAAAGAGAGCCATGTACACCTCTGGTCATGTAAGCTAGGCCCAGCGAGCAGAAGAAAAGAAAGCAATTCCTTCTCAACACAATTACTCTTTTGCAACATGTCAAACCAATGTCATTTTCAGGAAGCCTCTCTTTTCCCTGTATATGATTAGACCTTGTAGCTGAGAAAAAAACAACTCACCTTGGAGAGTGTTTCCTGCTTTTTAGGCACATTTCTGAAGAAGTCAAGTACGTCAAACACTGGGGATTAACCTCACCCTCCCAGAGGCGGCAGTGACTAAGCAAAGCACAGTCTCTCAGGTGCTCCAGTTTGCAAGTCCCTGCAAAAGACAGAAAGGACTGTCCTCTTCCTACAGGGAGAGCA